TTAATGAAGAACTCATTAAAATATGCCCACAGGCACTAAGTTTTCACTTTTAAAATTCACTGCTAAATCCCTTCCTGTATCATAAACAACTGCTAAAAATATTCAGGAAAAACTCCTGGGGTCAGTGAGGTGGTTCAGTGGTTAGAGGCACTTGTTCAAGCCTTAGAAACCAGAGAGTGGGAGAAAACTGATTCCTGTAAGCTGTCTGTCCCTTGCCCTCCATGTGTGCGCCATGGCATGTCTGCAACCAAACACACAAAGAATAAGCAAATAAAGTATACAGAAATGAAAAAACTCCTTGCCTTTCTACAAATGAACTATTTCCTCCAAAATAAAAACAAGTTAAACTATAACTTGTTTATAACGTAACAAAAATTAACAAGAGTCACAGAACAGCATCAGTGAGCATGCAGTCTTTTGGAAAAGAAAATCAGTTAGTCAAAAGGCAATCACATTATTTGATCCAGTTGAACTGCTTTTATTACTTTTGTAACAGACCCCCAGCTCTTCATAGGCTCCCAGACATTGGCACAACTGACGCCATGATGCAAGTGCCAGTTAGGTCATGTAGACACTCAGCATGTAGACAGCACTACTAGCCAAAAAACGAAAACAAAGACTTAACCCATCAAAATCCATAGTTCTGGGCAAGTCTCTAAATGTAGTAACCTTTTTTTTGGCTTCTGTAGTTCCTCTTCTGGCTAACTGTTCTTGTTCACCGAAGTATGTCAACCCAGGATATGTCTTTTGTGCTTAAAAGCTCACCCTGAGAAAGGCTCAGGGCTACACTGGGACCCTGAACACCCAGTGTAGTCCCCGCCAGCTGATAAAGACTGTCTATTGGTTTAAACCCATGTCTGAGTAGTCTTCTCTGATGGATGCCCCACAACACATTTTTATTCATTTCGTGTGTGTGTGTGTGTGTGTGTGTGTGTGTGTGTGTGTGTGTGTGTGTGTGTGTGTTTATTACGTGGTGTAGAAGTGTGGGTGCATGCATGCTATGGTACATATGTGGAAATCTGAGAATTGTAGGGGGCATGGAGGTCTTTGTGCTCACATGCACTGGAGGAACCTGGAATGCTAAGCACACAGGGTTTTTCCTTCAAGGGAAGGAATCCCAAACCTATCTTCTGTCTGGAAGGCTGGAGCAGATGCACTTTCTAGCCTGGTGACCATTGTGAAATATGTGTGGCTGGAGACTTTCCCCAAATGGGACCTTCCTCCAGACCCATCCTCGTAAACTTGTTCCTATACAATCTATCTTTATGTCTATCTTTATGGAAGGTGTCATGTGTGATTCTGCTTACTCTGTTCCTCAAAGAGATTTAGATATGCTTTGTTGTGCCCGTGGGATTGAGTTAATCATCACAAGAATAAATTTTTACCAGATTGTGCTATGTTTAAATACACCTAAAATAAACAACTCCTGAAGTTTGAACCAACATTGGCTACCGGGTCATTTTGTGCTGAATTGCATTTCTGCCTCCCAAGGCTCATCTCTCTGCTGCCTGTGAAGGTTGCAGAGACCCCAGCAGAAGACAACTTCAGAGACTCATTTCTTTCCTGTGATGTCAACAGGCACCTTTGTCCACGGAACCATCTCACCAGCATGAACTTTTTTTAAAAAGATGGGCATGGTGGCACACACTTGTAATTCCAGAACTTATTCGCTGGAGGATCAGGAGTTCAAGGCCAGTCTCCATCTGGCCAGTTGGAAGCCAGTTTGGGTTACAGAACAATGGCCGCAAAAGTATCCTGACTCTGAGTAAAAGAAAGTATAAGATACTGTAGTCATTAAGGTCCTCACATGGTAAAATCCTTAAGAAAGTGCGTTAGTTCCTTCAGCTCTCACTCATTTTTCTCCTTTGTAAAAAGTATACTTATCCACTGAACACTGTGTTAGATATTTTTTCATCACTGTGGCCAAATTCCTGACAAAAAGCAACAAAGGCAGGCAAGGTTTATACGGCTCACACCTGAGGGATGCCGTCCATCTTGCTAAGGCAGAACAGCAGTGAGCAGAGGGTCCGGAGGCTGCTTGCTTACTTCTCAGTGGATCAGGATCAGAGAGCTCAACAGGAAGCTGGGCTGGGCTATAATCCTCAAGGTCCACCCTCAGGACCTCCCTCCTCCAGACAAGTCCAGCCTCCCAAAGTCTCCCCAAAGTTAGCACCATTAGTTAACTGACTTCCACAAGCACACCATGGCACATGTACACACACACACACACACACAACACTGTTACTCGTGTGTGTGTGTGTGTGTGTGTGTGTGTGTGTGTGTGTGTGTATGTAAGACCATGTACGCAGGTAGGTGTGTTTGCAGGTGCCCTGGAGGCCAGAAGGTGTTGGATCTCTTGACGCTAGAGTTACAGGTCTTTGAGAACCACTTGATGTGGGTGCTGAGATTCAAACTCCAGTCCCAGTCCTCAAGTCATTTTTTTCAGGGCCTCCAAGGCCTCCTATAAGTTTTGATTAACATTATTTTCATTTTCATTCAGTGATTGTTTTTTTTTTATAAGATTTATTTATTTATTATGTATACAGTGTTCTGCCTGCATGTATGTCTGCAGGCCAGAAGAGGGCACCAGATCTCATTACAGATGGTTGTGAGCCACCATGTGAGTGCTGGGAATTGAACTCAGGACTTCTGGAAGAGCAGTCAGTGCTCTTAACCACTGAGCCATCTCTCCAGCCCTTAGTGATTGTTTTAAAGCCCTGGTTTCTGGGTCGTCCCCCTGCCATGCCGCTGACGTAATAATCCCATCAAACCGAATTAATAAATCCAGGTTTAATGAGCAAAGCAATCCTGGGTGACCTTGGGAAGGCAGGGGAAGAGTCAGAGAGGAAGAGTCACAGAAGTCACAGAGGAAGGGTCACATGGCAAATATGACTAGCAGGCCTTAAGTACCCTGGAGGTGTAGTCTTGAGCAGCCCCAGGGAGCGGCTGGTTTGGGGTGGGCTTTGATGGGAAGAGGGTCTGGAATGGGAGGGCAGCTCTAGGGGGAGGGTTTTAAGGAGGCAGGTTTGGGGAGAGAGAGAGATGGGGGAAAGGGAATTGAGGGGGAGCTTCCACCAGAATATTCCAGACTCTTTGGGTATATGGGTGCCAGGGGTTGAGGTGGAGTTTCCACCAGAACACTTAGCTTTAGGCTTTTTAAATTTTCCATTGTAATTTTTTCTTCAACCTGTTTCTTTTTTGTTTTGTTTTGTTTTTTAGGTTTGTTACTCTGTGTAACAGTCCTGGCTGTTCTGGAACTCACTTTGTAGACCATGCTAGCCTTGAACTCAGATATGTCTGCCTCTGCCTCCCAAGTGCTGGAATTAAAGGTGTGTGCCACCACCCCCCTGCTCAACCTATTTCTTAACAGAGTCCTAAATTTATCTTCTTGTTCTTGGTTTCTGATTTAATTGGAGATCTGCTCTCTGAAGCTTCATGGTGCCTTTTGTCATGGTCTAGCGTGTGATCATTTGTTACTGTCTAATACAAGCATTCCTTATAAATACCCCGCTAACATAAAAGTTAAACAGACTTCTCACCATGTGGAGAACTTGGGCAGGAAGTGTTGCAGGCTTTCGCTGGGGAATTTTCTCTAGTGAGGATGCTTTGGGAGGTTTGCTGGCTCCACCCACATCAGCCATGAAGTCTTTCAGGGTTGGCAGGCTGGGGGATGGTACAAATGGAGGTCCAGCAGGTCATTGAGAGCAGAGGCCATTGACAGGCGAGCAAGTGTGAGCCCAGGGACTGTGACGGATGTGGTTCAGTGGCCACTGCCACCAGGGCCACTCTCTAGCCGTCTCACCCAGGGGTATCCATGCAGAGGGTAGAGAAGCCATGTCTCAGGAGTACTCCAGTGAGATCCTAAAGACCATTCCCAAAGATCCAGTTTTTGTATCATTATATCACTGAATGGTAGATTTGTGTTTTCGGAGCTCATGGGTGGTTCACTAACATACCAAGGCCACCTTGGGGTTCGGTCATTAGCATGTCTAGGCCTGCCTTGGGTTTGGCTCCTACCTGAGCTACCATGTGGCTGGGTTTACCAACATATCAGAGCTTGGTTCTGAGGCCCAGCTCTGATCAGAGCTACCTGGTGACAAGCTCCTGTCTTATAGGCATTACATTATTCCAAATTACACAGAATGGATTTTAAATTACACAAAATGGTTTCACTCACGTTCCTAACAGTTTTGTTTGGATAGAGACAGGATCGCACTCTGTAGCCTTGGGAACTCACTATGTAGACCAGGATGGCCTAGCACTCACAGACCTCCAGTGCAACCTGCCAGTCTGGACTCAGCATTTTCCTTTAAAAACAGAACTTATTTATTAAATGTTCTAAGATTTTGTTTTCTGCACGTGAGTGTTTTGCCTGAAAATATATCTGCCTCACATATGTGCCCACAGAGGTCAGAAGATGATGAATCCTCAGGAATTGGAGTAACGGTTGTAAGCCACCATGTAGAACTGAACCTGAGTCCTCTGCAAGAGCAAAAAAGCTCTCTCAATTGCTAAGCCAACCCTCCAGCCACTGTCTCAGCATTTATTTATTTATTTATTTATTTTGTTTTTTGAGACAGGGTTTCTCTGTGTAGCTTTGCGCCTTTCCTGGAACTCGCTTTGTAGATCAGGCTGGCCCTGAACTCACAGAGATCCGCCTGCCTCTGCCTCCCGAGTGCTGGGATTAAAGGCGTGCACCACCACCGCCCGGCAAAGAAAAGAAAAAAACTTTTAAAATGACAGGAGATGAGAATAAACGACCTGCAGAGGCGAGAAGGAAAGCTCCTCCGCTGGCCTCGCCCTCCCGCCCGCTCCACCGAGGCAGACGCTCCCCGCCAGCCTGTTTACCGCGCCGTCACCGCCTCCTAATCCTTCGCCTTCCAAACAATTCAAAAGTCGCACAGATCCGACCTATCGCAAGCCTCGCCCGAGGGGAAGGGGCGTGAGCTTCCGGAAGTGTTGGCCAAGGTCCCTCCAATCAGCGACCCGCCGCGGGAAGTTTCAGTTCAGGGCCGGCTCGAGGCGTCCCTACTGCGGGTCTGCGGAGGTTTCTCTGTTGCGGGATTGTTGGGGAACGGGCCCAGAAGCTGCTTCAGGTAAGTGGGATCTAGAGATCAAGGTCCTCCTTCGCCGCCTACCGGCTTGAGAATGGCCTGGGCTGAAATGTTTTCGTGGTCCCGGAAGATGGCTCAGCAGTTAAGAGCGCTTGCTGGTTTTGCAGAGGTTCACTTCACTCCCAGCAACTCACATTAGACATCTTTAGCCTGTAGCCAGCGTCGAGAGATCCGACACCCTCTTTTGGACATTAATATGCAGGTACCCACACACACACACACACACACACATACACACACACACACACACACAAAGTCTTCGAAAATTTAAAAAGCGGCATGAAAATTATGCATGTTGTCCTAAAGAATTAACAAAGTGTTGGAGATAAGAATCTATCTGACTTGTAAGCTAATAACCTCTCAAAAGAGCCCAGAAGTGGCAGCGGCCTTCGCTTTTCATGAAGACTCTTGTCATTTGTTACCTCCTATAATTATTAAGTTGAAAATCTTAAAAGCTAAAACGCGGTTTTAAAATACAGGGGAGTAGGGTGAGAGCCCACGCAAGGGGGCTGACGTGAGAGTCACGTTTGATCTTCACCTAGAAGGTAGTGGCTGTTATTGTTGTCAGTCAGCTGCTCCCCTCACTGTGGAGCGGCCCCTGTATGGTCCATTCAGATCTTGCCTCTAGGCTCCTGCTTCGACTTCCCTGGATGGGCTGTAAGCCACGTAAACCTCTTCTCTCCTAAGTAGGTTTTAGCCAGTGTTTCATCACAACGGAAAGCGGACTAGGGATAGAAAACGTTTGGAATCAGATCTTGGTCCTTAGTGTCCTTCTCCTGTATTTTGCTTGGATACATTGTTTATCTTTCTATCCGGTGGTGGCACACGCCTTTAATCCCAGCATTCAGGAGACCGGAGGCGGGCGGATCTCTGAGTTCCAGGACAGCCAGGGCTACACAGAGAAACCTTGTCTTGAAAACAAAAACAAAAAGATCTTTCTAAGAAAAGGTCATTGCAAAGTATGATTTCTAAGATGGACAAAAAGAATGGGGCGAACTGATGAGGTTAACAGTGTTACCAAGTTTTGTTTAAACTCTTTCTCTAGTAGTTACTTTGTGTTTGGCTTGTTTTCTATTTCTATTTCTTTTTTCTTTTTCTTTTTTTTTGGGGGGGGGGGTTGGGGAGAGGATTAAAACAAGGTCTCATGTAGTTCCCTCCAGCCTGGAACACCCTATGGAGCTAAGACTGGCTATGACCCAGCCCTCTCACCTCCCATCTCCCAAGTGCTGTGATGTGGTTTTGCGATTGTGGTCTCACTATTTCATAGGCTGGCTTTAGCTGGGTGCTAGAATCACAAGAGTATTCATTACAGTAGGCTATCACTGGAATGATCTCACTCTAGCCCAATCTGGCTTTGAACTCCACTGAGCCTTCTGTGTCACAGTCCCAATAACTATTGCTAGGAGTGTGTGTGTGTGTGTGTGTGTGTGTGTGTGTGTGTGTGTGTGCGCGTGCTGTGGAGGCCTGAAGTCAATGGCAGGCGTCTTCCTCTATGGCTCTTGTCTGACTGGTGTTATGTCAACTTGATACACAAACTAGAGTTATCTGAAAGGAGGGAACCTGAATTGAGAAAATGCTTTCATAAGATCTGGCTGTAGCCGGGCGGTGGTGGCGCACGCCTTTAATCCCAGCACTCGGGAGGCAGAGCCAGGCGGATCTCTGTGAGTTCGAGTCCAGCCTGGTCTCCAAAGTGAGTTCCAGGAAAGGCGCAAAGCTACACAGAGAAACCCTGTCTCGAAAAACCAAAAAAAAAAGATCTGGCTGTAAGGCATTTTCTTAATTAGTGATCGATGGAGGAGGACCCAGCCCATTGTGGGTGGTGCCATCCCTGGGCTGGTGGTCCTGGGTTCTATAAGAAAGCAGGCGGAGCAAGCCAGTAAGCAGCACCCTCCATGGCCTCTGCATCAGCTTCAGGTTCCTGCCCTGCTTGAGTTCCTGTCGTGACTTCCTCCAGTGAAGGACTATGATCTTGAAGTTAAGCCAAATAAACCCTTTTCTCCCCAAGGTGCCTTTTTTTGTGGTGTTTTGTTGCAGCAATAGAAACCCTAACTAAGACCCTAACTAAGTTCGTGGGTACCAGCGAACTGGGGGTCTTGCTGAGACGGACCTGACCATGTTTTTAGGGGGATTGTGGAAAGACTTTGGAACTTTGGGCTAGAAAAGCCACTGAGTGTTGAGAGCTCAGTGGGATATTCTGTGGGAGCTTGGGAGATAAGAATGTTGAGAGCAGTGCAGAGGATGGAGGCCTGGCTTGTGAAATTTCAGAGGGAAGTTTAAAGGCTCTATCAGGGCCCTTTGCCGTTTTGATTGAAGACTCTTTGGTTCTCGTTAGCTGGGGCTTAAGAATCAGCTGTGATTAAAAAGATACCAGAATTACTAAAGGAAAACCTTTCTTTGCTGGGACCCTCGATGCTAGTCAGCTGGAGCTGAGAAGTTAGCGATTAAGAAGAGACCAGCACCGTTGAGGTGAAATCTTCTGCGAAGTGTTTCCTGAGAGTCAGTGCCCAGAAGCTGTGTTCCAGAGGCGACCAAGGTCCGGCCTTGTGCTGACAGCAGAATTTGATAGGCATGAAGGTAGTACTGGCTTTGAAGGCATGAAGGGGTCATGGAGAGCAGCTGAGGCTTGGCACTGTGAGAAACCAGGAGAGGCCACTGGTGAAGGTGTAGCCTCAGCATCAGTTGAGGCCCAGTTGCAGGGGTTATGAGGAAAACTTGGGTTCGGCACCACGAAGAGAGCCTATGAGCGGCTACTGGTGAAAGTGCAGCCCAGCTGCAGCAGAAGACCCCAGAGTTTTGGAGATGCCGTTACCATGGGATGACCACCAAGAACAGCAGCAGCAGTGGAGTGGAGCCAGCCAGAGCCCAGAAGACAAGCTGTGTGGGTGCATGGGACAGAGCATAAGAAGTGACCCAAGCCGGGCCGTGGTGGCACACGCCTTTAATCCCAGCACTCGGGAGGCAGAGCCAGGTGGATCTCTGTGAGTTTGAGGCCAGCCTGGTCTACAGAGTGAGATCCAGGAAAAATCAAGAAGTGACCCAAGCCCCTTGGAGAATCCCAGAAGATCATAGTGGATCCCAGACATTGGACATTGTGTTCTTTACACTTGGAGTTTGGTTTTGCTTTGGTTTGATTGTGACTGTGCCCTGGTTCTTCCCTCTTGAAGTAAGAAAGTATTTAATTTACTTTTTATTTTTACAGGAGTCCACAGCGTGAGATTTGGGATTTGTAAAGAGGTTGGGTATTTTAAAGAGACTGAAATGTGAATGAATTTGTAAGGGCTATGGACTTTTTCAAGTTATTTATGTTTTTTTTTTTTTTTTTTTTTTTTTGGTTTTTCGAGACAGGGTTTCTCTGTGTAGCTTTGCGCCTTTCCTGGAACTCGCTTTGGAGACCAGGCTGGCCTCGAACTCACAGAGATCCGCCTGGCTCTGCCTCCCGAGTGCTGGGATTAAAGGCGTGCACCACCACCGCCCGGCGTTATTTATGTTTTTAATGTGAGATCTTGGCGATGGTGGCGCACGCCTTTAATCCCAGCACTCAGGAAGCAGAATCAGAGGCAGGCGGATCTCTGTGAGTTGAGGCCAGCCTGGGCTACAGAGTGAGTTCCAAGAAAGGCGCAAAGCTACACAGAGAAACCCTGTCTCAAAAAACCAAAAAAAAGAAAGAAAGAAAGAAAGAGAGAAAGAAAGAAAGAAAGAAAGGGAAGGTTGTGGCTTTAATAGTGATGTGTTTGTGTGTCAAACTGACAAGGGGTCTATTGTCCTGCTGGTCTTATGTCAACTTGACACACAAACTAGAGTTATCTGAGATGGAAACCTCAATTGAGAAAATGACTCTATAAGATCCAGCTGTAAGGCATTTTTTTTTTTTTTTTTTTTTTTTTTTTTTAAACGAGACAGAGTTTTTCTGTGTAGCTTTGCACCTTTCCTGGAACTCATTTGGTAGCCCAGGCTGGCCTCAAACTCACAGAGATCCGCCTGGCTCTGCCTCCCGAGTTCTGGGATTAAAGGCATGCACCACCACTGCCCAGCGGTATTTTCTTAATTAGTGATTGATGCGGAAGAGCCCAGCCCATTGTGGGTGGTGCCATCCCTGGGCTGGTTGGTGGTCCAGGATTCTATAAGAAAGCAGACTGCCAGGCGGTGGTGGCGCACGCCTGTAATCCCAGCACTCGGGAGGCAGAGGCAGGTGGATCTCTGAGTTCGAGGCCAGCCTGGTCTACAGAGCTAGTCCAGGACAGGCTCCAAAGCTCCAGAGAAACCCTGTCTCGAAAAACCAAAAAAAAAAAGAAAAAAAGAAAGAAAGAAAGAAAGCAGGCTGAGCAAGCTAAAGGGAGCTTGTAAGCCAGGAAGCAGCACTCTTCCATGGCTTCTGTATCAGCTCCTGCCTCTAGGTTCCTGTCCTGCTTGAGTAGGAACTTTGGATTTCCTCCAGTGAAGGACTGTGATCTGGAAGTGTAAGCCAAATGAACCCTTGCTTGCTCTTTGGTCATGGTGTTTTGTTGCAGCAATAGAAACCCTGACTAAGACAGCTCTCTTCCTGTGTTTCTCATCACAGCTGGAGCTCATTCATTCAGTTAGGCTGGCTGGCAGAAGAGTCCGGTTAAGTGCCTGCGTCTGCCCAGGTCAGCACTGGAACTACAGGCATGTGCTGCTGCTGTGCCTGCCTCTTACGTGTTAGAGATGAGCTAAGGTCTTCAGGGTTGTGTGGCAGGCACTCGGTGGATTGAGCCATCTCCCCAGACCATATTTGCTTTTTTTTAGCCTGCCTCCACCTCCCCAGTGCTGGGATTAAAGGCATGCACCACCACCGCCCGGCTCATGTTTTTGCTGTTTGAATTGAGAAGAGAGGCTGAGGCTCTTCATCGCCAGAGGAAGGTTAAGGAAGTTGTTCTGTAACGTAGCTCTTTACTTCCTCTGTTTCCACTTCACAAGTTGCCTCTTGTCTGTATTCTAGATTATAGTTTTCCTCTGCTTCATTTAATCTGCTGAGCAGCTTTCTACCCAGAAACCCCAGATAGGCACGTATCTTTGTCTTTGATTACTTTCTACTTTCATATTTATTCATTTTTATTCTGTTGTGTGTTTTAATATTTTCATTTCAAGGGAGTGCAAAGGAGTATAAGATCTGAAATCTTAATTGTTTTTATTAATTTCTTTTGGTCTTTGAGAGAGGCTCTTCCTCTTTAGCCCAGAAGATCCTGAAACTCACAATGTTCTGCTTTCTTGAGCCTCCCAAGTGATGGAATTGTAAGGGTGACCCAGCCACCACAACCTGGTCTCAGATCTTAATTTTTTAAATACTAAAATGAAAATCCATGGGATTGGGGATTTAGCTCAGTGGTAGAGCGCTTGCCTAGCAGGCTCAAGGCCCTGGGTTCGATCCTCAGCTCCAGAAAAAAAATAAATAAATAAAAATAAAATGAAAATCCATTAAGTTAGTGTTTATTTCTCTCTTTTGACAGGATGTCTTCATCACATTTTGCCAGTCGGCTTCGGAAAGATTTAAGCACTGAAATGATCAGAACCCAGATTGCTCACAGGAAGTCATTATCTCAGAAGGAAAACAGACACAAGGTATATGAACGAAACAGGCACTTCGGCTTGAAAGATGTCAACATTCCATTGGAAGGTAGAGACCTTGTTAATATACATGAGATGTCTCTAGACCTCGCTCCAGAAAAGGCCAGTACCAAAACGAGTAAGTAAAGACCTTTCAAAGTTGTGAGTTCTTTTCAGAGTGAGTCAAAGTGAGTCTGGAGAGATGGCTCAGCAGTTAAGGGTGCTTACTGTTGCAGAGGACCTGGGTTCAGTTCCTGGTGTGGTGGCTCACAACCATCTGCAGCTGCAGCTCCAGCTCCAGGGTGTCGGACTCCTCTTCTGATCTCACAGGCTCCTGCATGCATGTGGTGTACATACAGACACATACATACACTCAGACGTTCGTGCGCATGCATTAGATAAATATTAAAAGCAAAGTGAAAGTTGGTCTAATGCCTGGGCGGGAAATTAAAGAACTCCACTGATAAAGGAAAATCATTCTAAATAACTCGGTGAGAACCTTTGAAATAAAAATACTTTGCCAGTCATCTAAAGGAGAGAACAAAGAGATTATTCTTAACATTTGCCCAAAATGCTTTGGGGCCATGAGGAAAGAAAGAACTAAATAAGCAAAAAGGGATATTCTGAGAAAAAAATTAAAACAGTGAAAATAGAGTGTCCTAGAAGGCAAGAAATGTTATAGGGATGGAGGAAGAGAACCAAGGCATGACTTAAGCTCTAGCCAGGAGTCGCTGGAGTCCTATTTTGTTTATATACCAAGTGTTAGACACTAAATGGCAGTCATGTATGTGGTGAATGGCACACCATGTAAGTGGTGAATGAGAGAATGTTCTAAGAGGGTTTGGTTTGTGGTATGTGGGAGGCAGATGGGAGTACAGCTGTTCTCCATCAAGTGTGGGGAGCTCAGGACAGCTTTGGAGTTTAGCTCTCCTCCCACAGTTATGTTGGTTCCAGAGGTGGAACTCATGCTGTCAGGGCTGCTTAGCAAGCGCTGTAACCACTGAGCTGTCCTCTTGGCCCCTACAAGTTTTATGTTACGGTTTTCAGGGTCAGTGTGGCATGTGCACCCAGTGCATTTGAACCTGGTTTTGGAAAGGGTGGTATTGGGACTGGAAGATGATAGTCTGCCACCTCCCCCCAGCTCTGTCCCAGATTTCTCGTTTTTTTGTGATTCTGAAGAAGTGTGAGGGGCGAGAACTGGACAAAACAATTATGGGTTTTTGTTTCTTCTGACCTGAGGTGAATAGTGCATGTTTGAGGAAAAAAGGAACTAGGCCTGCTAGCCTGTTTGGAAAGAGAAAATAACGACCTATTTGGGGAGCTGGCAGGAAATGAAAAGGGCCTAGAACCCGAGTTTTGAAAGGGAGACTTTTTTTTGTGGTCTGAACACAGCTAAAATATACAGTGAAAATTGTAGAATATAGCAATAGTTTTAGGAAAGGGCATTTTTTAAATTGAGTTCAATTTTTCCTTTTTGAAAAATACATTTTAAATTAAAATAGAATTACCTCACTTTCCCCCTTCCCTTTCCTCCCTCCAGTACTTAGGTCCCACCCCTCCAAACCCTTCTATGCTCCCAAATTGATAGTCTTTCTTTTATTATTATTACATACGTATGCATGTATGTATATGTATGCACAAGTGTATACATACAGCCTGCTTGTTGGACATGTTGAGGTTATAATGCCTATTAGGCATGTAAGCAGAGATGATTTTTTAAAAAGTAATTGAGGGGCCTGATGTGGTGGCTCATGCCTTTAATCTCAGTACCCAGGACGCAGAGGCATGTTAAGCTGTAGGGGCTGTATATAATGAGACCCTGGCTCAAAGGTGGGGGAGAAGGGTGGGGGGAAGCCAGATAGGCAGGGGTTCAAAAGAGAATGGAAGTGTCGTCTAGGGCATACTCGGTCTTCAAAGATTGAACTTGAGTCTAGTGAAACCCTTATATGTAATTTCTACTCTCGAAAACATGGAGGTTAGGAATAAGTGAAAAACTTGAAATAAGCGAAAACAAGAGCCCAACAAGGGACCAGCTCTTATGCGGGCTTGGCCTAGGCTTAGGAACCTAATTAATGCGAGAGACAACTCACAGAGAAGCTTATAAAATTTACAGAGAATGAAATTCAAAGAAATGACCACAGTGTGATGCTACTTAGAGCAAAGGTCGGTAAGCTTGTGAAGGAGTGACTGAACAAGGTGGTAAGAACCAGCAGTGTTGCTGAGAGACACACAGAGCTAGGGAGGTAAAGCTAGTGGAAGAGCCGGGCTAGTCAAAAACTGGAGCCCAGGGAGGAAGGCTTTGTGTGCAAGTGACATCCCTCCCAAAGAATGCTTTTGCTTTGTTTGCAAGGTGTGAGGAATTGAACTCAGGGCCTCACCCAGGCTAGGCAGTTAGTTAAGCATGTGCTCTTGCACTGAGCTAGACTCCCAAAAGAACCTTGTGTTTTGCTAATGCCAGGCCAGCCAAGACCTTGCTTCCCTCTCTCAAGATACAGCTTGTAGGCATATGTCAAAAAATACCAACAGGATTCTTCAGGCTTGTTGCATGTAGGAGAAGGCAGACCAAATGGCCCATTCTAAAGTTCTTTTGGGTGATTCAGCCTGAAGTAATCAACATACCAACTTTTTTTTATTTGAGCAAGTGGAAGGCATACACAGTGAATACAATTTTCAAAATGATTTGAGCTTGAAATACCTTGTTTTGCCGGGCGGTGGTGGCGCACACCTTTAATCCCAGCACTCGGGGGGCAGAGCCAGGCAGATCTCTGTGAGTTTGAGGCCAGCCTGGTCTACAGATCGAGATCAGGACAGGCACCAAAACTACACAGAGAAACACTGACTCGAAAAAAAACAAACAAACAAAAAATAAATAACTTGTTTTACAGTGTTAAGGAATTAGTAGGACAGGATTAAAAGCATTTCTTAGCAGATGAAATTAGACAAAAAATGTGCTTTTAGAAATTTGATGTTAACCAGGCACTGGTGATGCATGCTTTTAATTCCAGCACTTGGGAGGCAGAGGCAGGCAGATCTCTGAGATCGAGGCCAGCCTGGTCTACAGAGCAGCAAAGACTATACAGAGAGAAACCCCGTCTCAAAAAAATAAGAAAAAAAACCCCACCAAAAATTGTTTTGTAATATTTTGTGTAAAATGTTTCATAGACTGTTGTTTGACACTCTGCTCCCCTTAGAGTCAGAGAAAACGGTTCTGAGTGACCAGCGGAAGCAGCTCCTCCAAAAATACAAGGAAGAAAAGCAGCTTCAGAAATTGAAAGAACAGCGAGAGAAAGCTAAGCGAGGAGTGTTTAAAGTGGGTCTCTACAGGCCTGCTGCCCCCGGCTTCCTCGCCACAGACCAGAGGAGTGTGAGGACCCAGCCTGCTGCCCCCGGCTTCCTCGCCACAGACCAGAGGAGTGTGAGGACCCAGCCTGCTGCCCCCGGCTTCCTCGCCACAGCCCAGAGGAGTGTGAGGACCCAGCCTGCTGCCCCGGGCTTCCTCGCCACAGCCCAGAGGAGTGTGAGGACCCAGCCTGCTGCCCCGGGCTTCCTCGCCACAGCCCAGAGGAGTGTGAGGACCCAGCCCGAGGTGTGTCCATGGTTTAACTTAAAACATCAGACAGTTCCTTTAACTCTGGAATTGAAAAGCAGCTACTTAACTTAAGGAGACATTTGAATATTAAACTGAGACATAGAATAAGTTTTGTCTGTGTTTGTGTTTTCGTTTTTTGTTCTTTTTTAATTGATCTTTTTTTTTTTTGACTGTTTAAAGGCTTTTCCATACAATGGGCGGATTACAAGATCCAAGGCCAAAGACCATACGGAACACACTAAGGTATTATTGTGTGTAGATAATTGCTACTGAAATAACATACTGTGCCTTTTCCTCCCTCAAAAGTTTGTAATTCCATTTTAAACCTAAAATCAGATGCAAACGTAGTGATTTAGTTACCTGAATCGGAAGTGTGAAAATTAGCGGTGACTTATAGTAGGTTCTGGCTAGAGGCCAAGGAGGTTTTCACTCACAATAGTCTGCAGAAACACCTCTTGATGCAGTCCATCCAGACTTCATCCTCATGCTGTTGTTCACTGTGCTGCTACTGTGCATTCCACACCAACTACAGGAAGTGCAGATCAGAATGAGAAAAGCACAGGGCGGCTGAGATACATTTCCAGGTCCTCTAAATACGGCAGCAAATGAAGGCTTTGGGAGAGAATTAAGTGTGTCAGCTGGGGCCTGAGTATGACTTTTTGTCAAGTAAGGAAGCTAAGTTTCATGTTTTTAACATATTGGAGTCACTGCCATGTCCTTGTAGCTCCTCTAGCTTTTGGGATGCTTACAATGCTGAAGACAATCCTGAGGCTTTATGGTGCTTACTGTAGGCCTAGAAATAAAATGGATACATATGGTATATAGGTAAGTTAGGAGATGGCATTAAGAGTAGGCATTGAGTAACATTTTAGTTGGAGCAGTCCAGGGAAACCTTACTGAGATGCTTGCCTGTGGGGTGTAGTCTTAAGGAGGTGAGTGAACCCCAGGAAAGGCTTTCTGCCTAGGAGAAATGTAAATGTAAAATTCAGAGATTTCTCTTTTGATGTTGTAATTGGTTTTTTTTCCCCCAGCGGTGTTGGGAATCACAGAGGCCAGGGAACTACAGGTTAGTCACGCTCTGTACCACTGAGCGACTAACTAGACCGTGGTACAGGAGCCACTCACTATTCATGGATCCTCGAGAGGCCGAGGCAGGGCGCTAGCTTGCCAGCCTAGGCAACACAAAAGGCCTCATCTCAGGGAAAGAAAACCACAGTTAATGTTAGTGTTTTCAGAAGTCTCAAGTGAGCATATGGCCTTGAACTCAGAGAGATCCTCCTGCCTCTGTCTCCTGAGTGCTCGGATTAAAGGTGTGTGCTGCCATGCCTTCCAGCTTTGGTTTTTGTTTGTGTGTTTTTTTGAGATAGGATTTCATGTAGCCCAGACCCATGTATCTCCCTATTGGTTGAGGCTGGTCTTCAACTGCCGATTCTTTTGAGATCAACTTACAAGTTAAAAGTGTATTTGGCTGGGCGGTGGTGATGCACGCCTTTAATCCCAGAACTCAGGAGGCAGAGGCAGGCGGATCTCTGTGAGTTCGAGGCCAGCCTGAGTTACAGAGTAAGTTCCAGGAAAGGCGCAAAGCTACACAGAGAAACCCTGATTTGAAAAACCAAAAAAAAAAAAAAAAAAAAAAGTGTATTTGATTTCTTATGCAGTTACGTAACAAAGTACCTAATTCTCTTCACAGATTGAGAGCAGGAATGTTCTTCAAACAACACGATGTGGCCAAAAACAAACTTCTGAAAAGAAAACACTGGACAAAGAGAAAAAAGGTGGAAACATTAGCAGTGATGATGCCCTTGGTGCTGCCAAGGAATAATTTGTGAATGACAGAAAACATCTGATTGGATTATTATTATTATTTTTTTTTTTCCCCAGTCGTGCAGCCCATGGTGTCGTCAGGGAGAGTGACTGGATCAGCTGCTCCTCAGAGGACAAAGCAGACCGCCCCAACAGTCTCGTCTGCCCCGAGAAAGCCAGTCACGAGAGTTGCTGGTGGTAAGGACTGTCTGAACGCGCACACAGTAATGCACTTTATAAAGAACAAGAAAGCTTCAAAACAGACCATGGCCCTGAAATACAGTGTGCTAATAAACAAAAAAACACTATAAACAGATGCTGAATTATCAGATTGGTACTGGAGTCATGGGCGACGGCTGTGTGTAGGCTGTTGGTCCATACTGGGTCGCTTCCTCAGTTATTCCTCACCTTGCTTTCTGAGGGGCAGCCTCTGGCCCTGGAGTTGCCCATTGAGCTAGCCTGGCTGGTTGGTAAGCTCCGGGGATCCAGCACTGACTGCAGATGGGTGCTGCCACATACAGCTTTTTATAGGGTCCTGGGACCCAGACTCGAGTCCTTGCCTTACAGTTAGCACTTTGCCAACTGAACTCTTGCTCCGGACTATTTTGTTGGTTGATTTTTCTTTTCTTTTTGAGATTTATTTCTATTTTATGTGGGTGGGTTTTTACCTGCATTATGCCTGTGTACCACATGTGTGCCTACGGAGGCCAGAAGAGGTCGTCTTTATCTCCTGGAACTGGAGTTAAGGTGGTGGTTAACTGCCATCTAGGTGCTGGGAGTCACCCTCTGAAGAACAGGCAGTGCTCTTAACTGCTGAACCCTCTCTCCAGCCGCCATACTGTGTTTTTGAGACAAGGTCTCACCAATTAGCTGAGGCTAGCCTACACTCTTGATCCTGTTGCCTCAGTCTTCCAAGGAAGTTCTGAAGTTGCAGGCTGCCCAGCTGTGCTGGCTGGTTGGTTGGTTTAGTGTTGGCAGTTAGATTTGTTGCTTCTGTTTTCTTTTTTATAATCAGTATGTATTTGGTAATCAGAAAGAAAGGAAACATACTTTATTTTGAAAAGCAAAATAAAGTTTGCTTTGTATTTGGCAGGAAATTTCATCTGTTTTTGTCCCCTTTTATAGTGTGACTTGTAATCCTAAAAGTTGAAGATAAACATTCCTATTTGTCTTTTTTCAAACTTTACCGAATGATCTAGTACTTTAACAGAGCATTGCCTGTCTGTTTTAAAATGGATATCTTACTTCGTTTTTTATTTTAGAGAATGAATCCGAAAGAGTGGGGCCGAGTAGAGGAAGACCTGCCAGAAAGGTGGAAGCCAAACTTGGCAAGGTAGAGCACGGGTCTGCTTATTTCTAAGTGCCTTGACGCAGCTGAAGGGGAGCATGCAGACTGCTTCAGAGAGCGCCCCTCCACACACGTTAACACCCTCCACATAAGGAAGCGTCACAAGGATTTACTGATACTGATGGTTAGGTGTCTGGATCTAACCCTGGGTTTTATAAGTACAGAAGGCACAATCTGGTTAACAGAGAAAATGGAGAATAAAAAAACACAGCTGGGACTGTTTTTGCAAGAACTAGTTACAGGGTGAGATGCTTTGATTTTGGATTCAGCTAGAGCAGGGTATTATGCTTGCAATTAACTGCATAATTGGAGTTTATTTCTCCATCCCTAACAGAATTTCCTATATAGATTGTCAAGAACCAATAAGCTAGGGTTTTTAACAGCATCCAGCAATGAGATCCTCAAAAAACAGGACCAGGGCCTGCAAGCTGGCTCAGCAGTAAAGGTGCTTGCTGCCAATGCCAAGCCTGATGGCCTTCATTTAATCCCCAGACCCACATGGTGGAAGGAGAGAGTCCATACCTGCAGGTTGTCCTCTGACCGCCACTCATAGAAATTAAAAGAAGCGGGGTGGTGGTGGCCCACCTTTAATCCCAGCACTCAGGAGGCAGAGCCAGGTGAATCTCTGAGTTTGAGGCCAGCCTGGTCTACAGAACAGGCACCAAAACTACGCAGAGAAACCCTGTCTCCAAAAAAATAAATAAATAAAAATAGAAAAGAAAACAAAAATTTTAAGGAACTATTATGAGTTCCTAGTTTCTTGGCCTACAGTGCAACCTTAACCTTTAGGGGGGAAAAAGATCTGCTGAGTAAGAAAGCTGCCTGGAGAGGCTGGAGAGATGGCTCAGAGGTTAAGAGCACTGGCTGATCTTCCAGAGGTCCTGAGTTCAATTCCCAGCAACCACATGGTGGCTCACAGCCATCTGTAATGAGATCTGGTGCCCTCTTCTGGTATTCAGGTACATGCAAGCAAGCAGAACACTGTGTGTAAATAATAAATAAATAAATCTTTAAAAAAAGAAAGAAAGAAAGAAAGAAAGCTGCCTGGAGCCTTACTGAGTGTCAAAATCCTCCAAGGAAGAAAATGAGAGTGAATCTTTTTAAGCCATGCTAAGATTGATTGTGTGGGGCCAGCGAGATGGCTCAGTGGGTTAAAGACCTTGCTGTCATCCCTGATTCCCGGATCCCACGAGGTGGAAGAAGGGAGCTAACATCTGAAAGATGGGTTCTAATTCCACCCATGCCATGGTGTGCATGCCCCCAAACAAATACACAGACAGTACCATAATAAGTGTATTTTTAAAAAATGATTGTTCCTCTGCATGTTACCATTGGTTTTTACTTTCACTGACACCTTGGCCTTTGAGATCCTTATCCAGGTTGAGTTTGAATTCAGATCTCATTAATAAGCCAAACTAATTTTTAATGTCTAAATATTAATTAACAATTAAACTGACTTGGAAGAATATCTTTGTATTCTATTGCTTGATCTCATTGTATCACACCGAGAACTAGTGTTCTGTGGTAAGATTATGTATAGCCTAAGGTTATTTTTTAAGTATTTACCAATTTTAAGTATGTGGGTGTTTTGCTTACATCTATCTTTGTGCCACCTGTGTGTCTGGTGTCTGAGGAGGCTAGAAGAGGGGGTTAGATCCCCTGGGATTGGAGTTACAGATGGTTGTGACCCACCATGTGGCTGCCGAGAATTGAACTCGGGTCCTCTGGAAGAGCAGCCAGTGCTCTTAACCTCTGAGCCATCTCTCCAGACCCAGAAGTTGAATCTTGTTGAATTCCGATCAGTACAAGCCAACACATTGTGAAACTTGTTTGTTGCTGTTATTTGTGTTTCTGTTTTAATGATTGGGTTTGTTCCTGGAAGAGAAATTCCAACTTGATTCTGCTCATACCTAGGTCCTTCCCTCTAAAGTTGATAGAGAAGAAAATAGTGTGGATCCGCAGACCAGTGTAACAAATGGAATGGATCTGGGCGGCGTCTTCCCAGAGGTGGAGAGCTCAACTAAGACGGTTCCTGCAAAAGTGAAGGAGAGGAAGTCCTTTGCACCTACGCATTGTGTGTTTCAGCCTCCGTGTGGTCTGAAGACCTATCCAGTGGTACCCATGAGTCATAGAAGTGACGGCGCTTTCTTGACACCCAGTTGTGACTGGAGCCCTTTAAAACCAGAAGTGTAAGATGAAATCTTTAAGCACACACAAATACTAATACACAATTAATCTTAATAATAAGCACTTTATTAAAAGGAGTAACAAATGCCTGTCTTGCATTTCTACTCTTTCTTTCCTTTGTCTTTTTTTCTGCACTGTTTGTAGTTAGTGAAGTATGCTAACTATGAATCACACACACAAAAGAGTTCTTTTGAGAAAAGTTTTTCAGAAGCCTACAGTCATGCCTTTGATAGTTTTGATATTTTCTCTGAGTTGTCTTCACCATAAACATGTTGGGTTTTGTTTTTAAATACGTGGTTTATTTATAGCCCTTAAATAATATTTCCTTCTTTACTTTTGTAAAGATTTATTTTTATGCACATGAGTGATTTGCATTCGTGTATATAAGTGTACCACATGGAAAAAAATGTGCCACACGTATGCAGTTCCTCTAGAGGGCATCGATCCCCCGGCACAGGAATTACAGATGATGGATGGGATCAGCCGTGTGGGTTCTGGGAACTGAACTCACATTCTCTTCTAGAGCTGCAAGTGCTTATAACTAAGTCGTTTCTCCAGCCCCTTAGATTTTTGTGGGGGGGCGGTGTGGAGAGACTGGGGCTGAGATAGCAGCTCACTTTGTAGCCTAAGCAGCCTTGGCCTCCTAAGTGCTGGGATTATAAACTTGTATCACCATGCCCAGATAGAAGTGTATTTAATAAAAGCAACTCCGTGAGTGATGTAATGAGGCCTACTCTCAAACAAAGAGCATTTCCACTTTATCTTTTTTTTTTTTAAAGCAACACAGCTTTCCAGTCCTTCATTTTTACATATGTGTGGACTTCATTTTTCGTGAAGTGTATTTTTTTGCTGTTATTTTTAGCACTACCACTCAAGATGCAGCAAACGAAATCTTGGTGCAAAAATCTCTAGCTTGCTCTACAGACACAACGCAGCAGGAACAAAAGGACCCCCGGAGCGCTTTGGGTTCTCCCGCAGTCTGTAAGGAAGGTACGGTGTTCTCCTCCCGTCTCTGGCTGGATCGTGAAGAACTTCCTGTAGAGCTCATTTTCACCATGTGCTTCAGGAACGTGGCCTGGGCCTGGATCAAGTGGGGATGGAGAAGGAGCTGGGGGATCGCTCAGCCGCCAAGGACAGAACTGGATGTGGGTCGGGCAGGAGCTGGAAGGAGCCCTGGGGAGGTGGGGACACTGCAGGTGGTGGCCTGTCCCAGGCCCTGGAGAAACCATCTCAGGAAGAAAGTGGAGAGTGCTTGAAGAGCGACCTCTGACTTGCAGATGACCTCTGACCTCCACCTGTGCGCTCACACACACACACACACACACACACACACACACACACACACACAAATATTGGCAGCCATAATAGAAGAGATGTGAATGAAATGACTAAGGTAGAAACAAAAATTTCAAAGTTCAACATTGAGAAAACTGAAGGATTTTAAAAAATATCTTGTGAGGACTGTCATTCTAGAAATTGTTGTTAATTAATGAGTAATGTTTTATTTTACATCGTAGAACATGACTTAAATCAAAAGGAAGCGTCTACTTCAGATTCCAATCCCCTTTCAGTGGGAGGAGTCACATCACTTGAAGCAGGGGAAGGTCAGGTGTCTCAGCCACAGCATGATGTGCCGTATTTCAGGTTTGTCTGCTATTACCGTGAGAATGTGCGTTCATGTCTAGACATTAAACCCCAAATTAAAGTGTTTAATTTTATGCATACATATTTAATATGGTAAGTGGGGAGGAGCTGGCTTTGGGGGATTTTTACTGTGCAGTTTTAACTCTTCAGATAGCTAGGACATAGTAAGGTTTCTATTCCAAGGGTAGGCAGATGTGTGAGGGAAGTTGCCTTCTCAGCCCCAAAGTCTGACCCTTCCATGCAGGTGTTAACTTTCTTGTGTTATTTTGAGAGGTAGATAATGGATTTGAGGACACATGCAGGCCTTTTGTCTTGTACGGTACACTGTTTTGTTTTCATTTAGTGGTAAATGTTGCCGACAGTCCTTTTTAGCACCTGAAGGACTCTTTCATATGTGGGCGCAGAGTACTCTCTTGTCCTGCTCTATCATGGTTTATGTAGTCGGGCTCAGTGGATGTAAACAGGGTTCAACTGCTCACTCTTGAAGCCAAAACGGAAGAGGGAGAGCATCTTATGGATGGGCTGGCAGTGTCTGTCTGTTGGTAACACACTTCCTAGCCCCCAGGAAGCCCTGGGATTGGTCTCAAAAGGGAATAAACTGACCAGGCCTATTGTCCCAGCACTCAGGAGGTAAAGCCAGGAGGGTCCAAAATTAAAGGTCACCCTTGGCTGCATAACAAATTCAAGACCAGCCTGGATAGATGAGAGCTTGTCTCTCTTTCTTTTTTCTTGGTCCTCTGAGAATTCCGTACAATGTATTTTCATCAAATTCACCTCCAGCATCCTTTAACTCTTTCCTGGTCCACTCTACCACCAAGTTGTTTTGTTTTTTTTTTTTTTTTTAATAACCCACGGACTCCTCTTTGTGCTCTCCATACACTCCTCCTGGGTGTGGGCCATCCACTGAAACATGGTGACCTACGGGAAGCCACCCTTGTAAAGAAAACTGACTCTCCATCCCTTAGAGGCCATCAGCTGTCAGGGTCGGGGCCAGATCTGTCTTCAGAACTACAAACAAGCACTGATTTCAAATGCTGTTCCCTCCAGCAGCGTCCGAAGGGTCTTATTTTCCCAGGATAGTGTACAGTACTGAAGAACTTGGCCAGTTAACTGGATGACATGTCAACTCCCTGTTGTATTTGGATGGTTTGTCATGTGTGGGTGTCATGCTTCCCTGTATGCTAGTGTATTATGTGCACCTGGTGCTTGCAGAGGCCAGGAGAGGCCTTTGGATCCCCTGGAACTGGGGTTACAGGCAGCTGTGAGCTGCCATGTGGGTGCTGGGAATCGAACCCGGGTCCTCTGGAGGACAGACACTGCTGTCATTTCAGTCATCTTTTCCTGAGTGTTTCCTGTTAGTAACCACTTGAATTGTTTGTACTGTGAAGTTTTTCAAATGGAAGGGGTAAGCTAGGCTGTGGTGCTGTGCCACCCACCTGGTACTGTCAGGGCTAAGCCGAGTCTCCTTCCCATTACCTCAGTCACTCAGTTTCTGTGTCTGTCCATTGAATGTGAACAGTAGACCTTCCTTTTTGCCTATCATTTCATATTTCTCCACTGTTGCGCATCAAAACCCAGGCCTTGCATGTGTTCTGTAGATGCTCTACCACTGAACTATACATCTCTAGACAGGGTGACTCACTCCGCTTGGGAGACTCTCAAATTTCAGGCTAGCCTGTGTTACATAGTGAGACCCTGCCTAAAAGAAAAGGATTTAAGAACAAAACAAACCGTCCTTGGGTATTCTTCTTAGGGAGTTTGTGGGGTGATCTGCCCAACTCCCTCTCATACCTTGTTTGTTTGTTTGTTTCTCTTGAGTTTGTGTTGATAGTTTTCCAGTTTTTCACTATGGTGAGATGTATATCATGCAGCTCTTGAAGTATACAGCTCACGGGTATTAAAAATAGTGTTATGTGCCCATCACCACCATCCATCTCCAGAGCTTTCATCTTGTAAAACTAAAAAATTCTTTATCTGCTAGACAAATCCCCATTTCTCCCAAGAGCCCTTGACAAACACAGTTCTAGTTAGTCTCTGTGACTTTTTTTTTTGAGTGTGTGTCATGTAATTAAATAGAATCAGACACTATTTGCATTTAATTAACTAATTTCTTTGGGGGACATGGGAACCTTTTGGATCTCTCTTCATAGCCCTGGCTGTCCTGGAACTCATTATGTTGACCAGGCTGGCCTTGAACTCACAAGAGATCCACCTGCCTCTGGTCCTGAGTGCTGGGATCAAAGGTGTGTGCTGCCACACCCAGCCTTTTAATTAATTTATTCATTTTGGTTTTTCAAGACAGGGTTTCTCTATAAAGCCTTGGCTGTCCTGGAACTCACTATGTAGACCAGGCTGGCCTTGACCTCAGAGATCTGCCTGATTCTGCCTTCTGAGGTGCTGGGGTTAAAGGCATGCCTGGCCCTTTGTTTTTGGTTTTTTTGGTTTGTTTGTTTTGAGACAGGGTTTCTCTGTGTAGCTTTGGAGCCTGTCTTGGAACTCATTCTGTAGCCCAAGCTGGCCTCAAACTCACAGAGATCCGCCTGGCTCTGTCTCCCAAGTACTGGGATTAAAGGCGTGCACCACCACCGCCTGGCTTGGCCCTTTGTTTTTAAGACAGTCTCAAGTAGCCCAGACTTTTCTGAAACTATATGTTCCTGCATCAGTCTTCTGATTTTATCTATCACCTCAAGCTAGTTTTTTTTTGTGTGTGTGTATCTTTGTGACTGGTTTGTTTTACTTAGCATAGTGTCCTTAAGATTGATCTGTAGTGTTAACCTTTCTCCCCCCCCCCATCTCTCTCTGGTTTTTTTTTTTTTTTTTTGAGTTGTGATTTCAATGTGTAGGCCTGACTGGCATGGGCCTCACTTTGTAGACCAGCCTGGCCTCCGCCTCATGGGGAGTCCTGTCTATGTCTAACAAGTTCTGAGACTACAGACAAACCCCTGTGCCCAGTTTTCCTTCTCAAGGTTGAATAATTGGGGCAGGGGAAGGGGGGCAGGGGGTGTGTCTAGACCGAAAGCTCAGCCATTCAGGGCACTTTGCTGCTCTTACAGGGGAGTTTGGTTTCCAGTACCCACATGGCTCCAGGGAATCCAGTACCTGCTTCTGTCCTCCAAGGCCACTGTGCGCACATGGTGCACTTACATACATGTAGGCAAGACACTCATACACTTAAAAGTAAATAAATCTTTTTTTAAATTTTGTTTATATGTTATGTATGAGTGCTCTGCATATACACCTGCAGGCTGGAAGAGGACATCAGATCCTGTTACAGGTGGTTGTGAGCCACCATGTGGTTGCTGGGAATTAAACTCAGGACCTCTGAAAGGGCAGCAGTGCTCTTAACCACTGAGCCATCTTTCCAGCCCAAAAGTAAATCTTGAGTAAATCTTAATCCATACTGGCATTTTACTTTTCTGTGTGTCTGTCATTATATTTGTTAGTTTTGGTTTTGGTGGTGTCTGTGACAGTCATGCTCTGGTCTCCTGACTGCCTAAACTCACTAGATCAGCAGAACCTGACTGGCCCAGAGCTCGCGGTAGCAGTCTCCGATCTAGATTGAGCCTCCTTGTCTCTGGCTCTGGTGCCCCCACACCCAGTCATAATGACGTTGGGCTTGCCTCCATTTTAGTGATTAGAAGTGCTGTGAACACGAGTGTGCAAATAGCCTTTGGGACCCTGCTGTCAATTCTTTGAAGTCTACCTGATTTCTCTGCCCTCTGGAATGCCTGGGTGAGCACAGATTGAGCTCCTCCTAGGTCTAGGTCTCTCAGCCTGACTCTTATCCACATTTTAGATTGTGTACTTCTTGTTTGGGGGTCTCTTATGTACATTGTCAGGTGTTTGAAGCATCCCTAGCCTATAGTGACAAACAATCTCCAGCTAGACTCAATTGTACACACCTTTAGTACCAGCAGAGGGAGGCAGAAGGGAGGAGGATCTGAGTTCAAGGCCAGCTGGGGCTCTGTGGTGACACCTTGTCTTAACAAAAATCTCTGGACATCATCAAATGTTCTCTGAGGAGCAAAATTAACCCAACTAAGAAATAACTATCTAGGGCTGGAGAGATGGCTCAGAGGTTAAGAGCACTGACTGCTCTTCCAGGGGTCCTGAGTTCAATTCCCAGCAACCACATGGTGGCTCCCAACCATCTGTAATGAGATCTGGTGCCCTCTTCTGGTGTGCAGGCAGAACATTATACATAATCTTTAAAAAAGAAAAGAAAAGGAAGGAAGGAAGGAAGGAAGGAAGGAAGGAAGGAAGGAAGGAAGACTATCTAATAGTTAAATTTTGTAAGGCCCTATCACCTTGTGGAGTGGATTTGTTTGTTTCGGTCCTTGTTTTCTGAGACAGTCTTCTCTGTAGTAGCCGTGGCTGGCTGGAACTCACTGTGTGGACCATGCTGGCCATTCATTTGCACTGCTCTTCCCACCTCTGCCTCCTCAGTGCCAGATTGCAGCTGTGTGGTGCTCTACCTAAGTGTACTTAGATTCCACAGGTTTTATCTTCAGCTTCTTTTGGCAGTCCTGTAAAGAGTATCTGAGTATGTATTAACACAAAGGGATGTTGGACTCTGAACAAAGAACAGAACAAATCACAAATGGTAGCTCAAAAAGTGGGAAAGTGGGTCTTAGCATCATCCATCCAATGTAAATTTTAGGTATAGACAAAGGACATACACAAGGTGTATATGACAGGAAATTTGTCTTTTGTGACTTTCGTATATAATAATAGTTCATTAAATCCTTACATATAAAGTCTTCAAAATGGCTATTTTGCCTCTATTTTCTTCACTGTTTTGTGCCTTTGTTTTAAACTATCCTAGTCTTGTGTGTTAAAGTGTCATAAAGGTCAGGCTGAACTAAGGTGGTCACACTTGTAGAACTAAAACAGATGTCACACTTTTAGAAAGATCCTCCAGTCAGAAACTGACAAGTTAACCTCACAGTGCCTGGAGTGGGACAGGAAGCTGGAACTGCACATTCCTGATGATGGTAAGAAAAGAACATTCTTAGTTTTGTTTCTTTCTGTTGTTGGCATTATATCGTTTTGTGTTTTAGAGAGGTTCTCCTAGCACAGGCTGGCCTAGAGCTCACTGTAGTTAAAGGTGACCTGAACTCTAGTCATTGTGTCCCACCTCTCAAGGGCTGGGCTTACAGGTGTGCCCAAACACACCTGACAGTAAAAATGATGATGCTGTGTATTAAGTTTCTTTTTTGTAGTAGTAGTAGTAGAGATTGAACCCGGGATCTTCTTTGTGCTAAGCAAGTGCTTGACCAAAGAGCTATATCTATAGCCCTTGTTTCTATTAATATTGTTGCATTCTTTCAAAATTAAAACTCTAGTGTCCAACTTTGTAGTTTCAGTATTGCTCAAAACACCAAGAGTTGTTCAACCTCTAATATCTCTATGCTAAAGAAGTGTACAGCCTTTGTGTATTTTGTTTTTTTAATGTGACCTTGTATATAGTGGTGTTAATCTCGTATTCCTTAATTATACAAATAATATGTTCTGAATTTTAATTATGTAAATCAGTATGAAAACGAATTTTGGGCAAAGTCCTTAGTCCTATTTATTTGGAGAAGCTATTTAAAAAGTTACCAGTGTGGTCCTGGGGTACTTATGTACTTGACCTGTTTGAGGTCGAATTCTCATAAAATACAGGAGAAAGGGGATGGTACTCATTGGGAAGCCATGTGTGATTGAGGATGAACACCGCTAATTGTTACTGGTGCTTGAAGCCAGGAGCTAGGGCTCAGTATCTGTGGCAAAGTTTTTTTTGATGGTTATTTTTTGTTTTTCTGTAAGAATTTAATTCTGTAAACTCTAGGGATTGGGGGTTAAGTCTCAGTTGGCTGGCTTGCTATAAAGGTCCATTTTCTTTTCTTAACTTCTTTAGCTAAAGACCTTATTCGCACAACAGTTGGTCAAACAAGACTCCTTATTATGGAAAGATTCAAACAGTTTGAAGGGCTGGTGGATAATTGTGAATATAAACGAGGTGAAAAAGAGACAACCTGTTCCGACCTGGATGGATTTTGGGATATGGTTTATTTTCAGGTATGCGTCAGGTGGTTCGTACATTGGCTTCTAAGGACGGTGAAATGGACGGTAGTGGTTTAGCTACCTAGGATGTGATAAGTGAGCTATCAGGGTGCACCGTGTAAGCTTCATTGTCTTTTCCCCATGGTGTGAAATAGTCTGAGACAGATAATTCTACATGGGAGGCATGAGCCAGTGCAGTTAGTGAATTCTCTTGTGTGCCCGGCATTGTTTTAAGAAATGATAAAAACGAGCCAGGCGGTGGTGGCGCACGCCTTTAATCCCAGCACTCAGGAGGCAGAGCCAGGCGGATCTCTGTGAGTTCGAGGCCAGCCTGGGCTACAGAGCCTGGGCTACAGAGCGAGATCCAGGACAGGCACCAAAACGACACAGAGAAACCCTGTCTCGAAAAACAAAAAAAAAAAAAAGAAAAAAGAAAAAAAGAAATGATAAAAACGAAAAGAGCTGGCCGTTGTGGCACATGTCTTTAATCCCAGGCAGAGGCCAGTGGATCTGAGGTCAAGGCCAGCCTGGTCTACAGTTCCAGGACAGGCAGAGTACACAGAGAAACCCTGTCTTCAACACGAAACAGACACGAAGCAAAGTGAATGGTTTCTCTAGCAGCTCTCAGATACAGTATGACATTGTAATGTAGAGCTGAGTGTTGGTGGAGGCAGTGGCTAGGAGGCTTTTTGGAGGAAGAACGTTTTCTACCTTGCTGAGTTTATTTCAGAAATAAGCATATGGGGAGCTAAAGAGATAGACCAGCAGTTAAGAGCACCTGCTCCTCTTGCATAGGACTACGATTCTGTTCCCAGCACCTACATCAGGTAGCCTGCAAATGCCATGACACTTTATGTAAAGAATTTTCACCCTCTCTATACATGTGCTGCACCTGCATTGGGGCCTTCCCTCTGCCAGCGAGCACTCGGTCATCAGGGTATACCTTCTTCCTCATCTCGGGATCTGAATTTGTAGTGTTTAGTCCCCTCCCTTCTCCTCCCCCTAAAAACATTGAGAAGGAAAGCGTGAAAATGAACAGCCGAGCTTAAAAAGTTGGAAAAAGACCCCAACAGACGCCGCAGCCCAGAATGCCAACAGATGGTAGCTGATGAAATGGTGAGCCCGTAACATGTCAGCATCATGTGCCACCAGGCAGTTAGCAGTTAGAGCAGTAAGGTAACAGCTAACCAGACGCTTAGAAACCCCTGACAGTGAATGCTGGTGAGCCAGCAGCAGGACATGGGGCAGCAGGAACTCTGTCATTGCTGGTAACAGGGCCAGGTTAGAAGACGGTTTGGTGGTTCCTGGCAAAACTAACTAGACTCTGACGTTGTGGTCCCAAAGTCACCATCCTGAGTGTTTACTCAAGCGATCGACAGCTTGTTGGCATGTGATCTGTGTGTGGTGCCAAGAACAACGCTGTTTGTATTTGCCAACATCTGGGGACAACGCGATGTCCCTTAATGAGGTCAGTGACAGGTGTTTTTAAAGGGATTCTGTTTGTATTATGAGGAAGCAATGGTACTGAGGCCATCTTTTCTACCACCACAATGATCCATCGATCAATCTGGGAGAGTTGTGCATCTATAACATCCTTTCTGTAGGTTATAAGATGTCAAGGCCAAAACTACCAATGAATAATTTTACATAAAAATTCTTGATTTGAACACTGTTTACAGTGACTTAAGCTGAATAACCCCAGCATTTGGGAGGTAGAGGCAGGAGGATTGGGAGTTCGAGTATGTTCTGGACTGTGCAGCAAGATGTGGGTCCTCCCACAGTGACTTAAGACCCTGCCACTCCTACACACTCATGCACAGTCCCTTTCTCTCTCTCTCCCTCCCTCCGCCTCTCCCTCCCTCTCTCTCTCTGTCTCACACACATACACATTCAGTCTTTCTCACACATTCTCTTTCTCTCACACTCATCATACACAGTCTCTCTCTCACACACACAATCATATACAAAGTCTCTTTCTCTTGCACACAGACACAATCTTTCTCACACTCATATACACATTCAGTCTCTCTCTCTCTCTCTCTCTCACACACACACACACACACACACACACACACACACACACACACACACAGGATTTTAAGTTTAATAACTAACCAGTTCTGGGTCACCATTTTCAGTTTATTTAACATAGTCATTTTATAGTCATAAAGTAGCAATTTTAACATAGCATTAATGGGATGAACTTGTGCTTTTATTAACAGGTAGATGATGTAAACCAAAAATTCAACAACCTCATCAAACTTGAGGAAGCTGGATGGAAAAACAATAATAATTCATGCAAAAAAGTCCTCCGGGTAGGTTTGTGCATTTTCTACCCAAATTTCTAGCATAGATTCTTCTCTGTTTTTTGTTTTTTAAAAAAACATTTATTTATGTGGGTGGGTGGGTGGGGCCCCACCCAGTTGTGCCACGGAGCACATGTAGAGGTCAGAGGACAACATGGAGACATTGATTCTTTCCTTTTACCATATAAGTTTTGAAAATATTTAGCTTTGGGTTTCTTGTTTCACAAACTAAATTTCATATATTGCTTATTACATTCCGATTGCTCTTGGGGGAGAAAAGCAAGGATATAATCAACATGAAGTGTAAGATGTGTCCTTCTAAAGAGAGGGAAGAAAGAGATGTGTGATTGAATTGTATAAGATGTGTCCTTCTAAAGAGAGGAAAGGAAGAGATGTGTGATTGAACTGGGGTGTCCAGGTGACATTTATGTTTCTAGATAGTGGGTAGATGGGCATGGGTTTGTTCTGAAAGCTGCACCTATGTTGACAGGTGTGGTGTGGCACACTTGTAATACCAGCTCTTGGGAGGCTGAAACAGAATGATTACCATGAGTTTAAGGCCAACATGGGCTCCGTAGCAAGTTTCAGGACGGCCAGGGCTACATAGCAAGACTGTGTCTTACAAAACAGAACAGACCTCCTACATTTATATATTCCTTTGTAATTGCAATAGCCGTAGGTAATTCATGGTTTTTTATGCTAAATTCCAAGTAGTCCCATGTTAAGCTTTATAGCAGTCCATTTAGAGGGATGCTATATCCAAAATTTATGGTTGGAAAAATGAAAGATTAAATAATTTGCCCAGGGTAGTGCTGGGTTTCGTTCCAGGCCTTTGTATTCCACAGTTCATGCTCTTACTGAGCAGATCACACCTCTTCACTGTTGACAAGCTTTTTGTGTGACAGACTGTAGAATAAGATCTTACGTATTTCTTCCTCACTATGCTTATAAGGTTTTCTATTGTCCTGTAAAACATGCTTTGTCAATCTAATAAGAGTCCATTAGGGGTAAGAGCACTAGTCCTTTCTTGCACACACACAGGGTAGCTCACAATGACCTATCATTCCAGCTCTGGGGGTTGATGCTCTCTTCTGGACTCTGGGACACCTGCACTCATATGCACAGTCTCATACAGACACACACATGTACACATTAAGATCTTTTTTAAGCCGGGCGGTGGTGGCGCACGCCTTTAATCCCAGCACTCGGGAGGCAGAGGTAGGCAGATCTCTGTGAGTTCGAGGCCAGCCTGGTCCCCAAAGCGAGATCCAGGAAAGGCGCAAAGCTACACAGAGAAACCCTGTCTTGAAAAAAAAAAAAAAAGATCTTTTTTAAAGTCCATTTTTCTTACGCTTCAGATGGACATTGGCCTTATTAAATTGTCAGTTTTCCTTATGAAGTTAGAAGAACACTTAGTTTATAAACTCAGGTTGATTGATACTTTATAGTGTGTTATGCGAACGAAGCTGTTCTGAATTCCATCTTAGCAGAGCAGAGTGATAAAGAATTAAAGGAAACCTTATTTTCCCCCAATGAAGTCTCACTCCAAGGATCTGAAGGGAATGATTAGGTGGTTGAATAAATATCAAATCTTCTATAAAATAAAGGATGTTATTTATTAAAGGTACTAAGATAATGATAAATGTTTTTGAAATGGGTCTCACTATGTATCCCAGCCTAAACTCAAACATGGAATCCTCCTACCTCAGCTTCCAGGATGCTGGGATTATAGGCTTGCAGTGCTGCTCCTGACATCCTGTGGGTATTTCGTATTGAGTGTTTAGATCTGAAAGTAGTTATCAGTGGCTGTATCATATAAGAGTTGTAATTCTGCCTGTGACCACCAGATGTCGCTCTCCTACTTTGTTTCAGGCTACAGTTTGGTTGTTTTGGGGGAGGTTTATGTCTGAGCTATACACCAAGCCCTTAAGGCTACTGTTAATCAAACAAAACTAATCTCTTACCTATACTTTGACACACCCTTAACTCTTATACATTTCCCTCAGTTTGTCAGTCTTATTTGTTACTCCCTCTTTAAATGTGTTCGAGATCTAGCCTTATTACACTGAAACCAACCAGCTTGCCTGGTCAGACATCTTACTATGTCTCAGCTCCTCAAGTGCTGTTCCATCTCTCCAGCCACATGTCCTGTGCATCTTAACCTGCTTCTTGGTGTCCCAAATCTGTACTGCATACGAAAGTTACTGCTCAAGCTCAAATTCTGCACACCGTTATCTCAGAGTATCTTCAGTAAAATCATTTCCGTGAACTGTTTTCCTGTCTCAGAAGAATGGCATCGCCATGCCATCGGGTGTATATCCTCTCAATTTTAGTTATATATTTCACGTCACTGCTCTGCAGGCAGTGGAACCTGGGAGAATGGAGTCCATAGATGAGGTGGATTAAAGTCTCGTGCAATAACCAACTTTATTCAGAGCCTTTAACACTTTATTCTGAGGATTGAGAAAGGTCACATGAGTAAACTTCATACGAGTTCAAGCTGTGTACAGTCACAAGGATAAGTCACAGGTGGTAAAAACATGTTTTTCCAGGGAGGAATATAAAGGATCATTTAAACATTTAATTGAGTAACAACAGCAAGCAATAATTAGAAATCTGAAGTAAACTCACCTCTATCTGCCACACCTTGGAGGAGCACAAAACACATTCCAAGAACAATTCTGTGTTCTGCAGAAACTGAGGTCACGTGAGTGTTTTGGAGTGTTCTTACAAGCATTCAGAATTTTCCTCACTCCATTCCTGGACTGTATTCCAACAGTTTTCTGTAGCATGAATTCTAATTCTAAAAACCCAGAGTCAGATATCAGGGTGAAAGCTGAAAGATCAGAGAAGCAGAGCAGCCAGCCACTAGAAAGACTTCTTACCTCTAGGATTCCTCAGACTCAGTGGGTGGAGCTCCTGTCTCTACTCTGCCTTATCACTTCCTCTCTCTGCCCAGCCATATCACTTCCTGTTTCCTCCTCCCAAGTGCTGTTTTCTTCCTGTTTTTTTGTTTTGTTTTGTTTTGTTTTATTTTTTAGACGGGGAAGTTCTAGATCATCCTGCACCACATAATGAGGTTCTTTGTTTTGTTTTGTTTTGTTTTCCAGACAGGGTTTCTCTGTGTAGTTTTGGTGCCTGTCCTGGATCTCGCTCTGTAGACCAGGCTGGCCTCGAACTCACAGAGATCTGCCTACCTCTGCCTCCCGAGTGCTGGGACTAAAGGCATGCGCCTCCACCGCCCGGTACAATGAGGTTCCTTTTTTTTTTCTTTTTTTTAAAAATATTTATTTATTTATTATGTACCAGATCTCATTACAGATGGTTGTGAGCCACCATGTGGTTGCTGGGAATTGAACTCAGGACCTCTGGAAGAGCAGCCAGTGCTCTTAACTGCTGAGCCATCTCTCCAGCCCTACAATGAGGTTCTTAACCAAAATAAAAACTGAACTACTTTTTTTTGTTGTTGTTGTTTTTAAACCGGATGTCTTAGTGAAGAGACACTGTAACCAAAGCAAGTCATATAAAAAAAGGCATTTAATTGGGGGCCTGCTTACACTCTTAGAAGGTTAGTCCATGGCCATCATGGAGGAAAACAAATTGGCAAGGTGCTGGAGCAGTAGCTGAGAGCTTTACATCCAGAGGCAGCAGGAGGAGAAAGAGGCCCCGTGTGGGCTTACGAAGCCTCCCAGCCTCCCACCCTCAGGAACACACCTCCTCCAACAAAGTCACACCTACTCCAGCAGGGCCACACCTCCTAATTCTGTCCAGATGGTTCCACTAAATGGGGACCAACCATTTAAACTAGTGAGCCTTTGATGGCCATTCTCCTTCAAACCGCCACACCACACAGGGTGATACTTGGTGTGGGGATGCCAGTCTTTAATCTCAACTGGTCCTAAGGTTGGAGTGGGTGTGCATTCAAGACCAGCTGGGACAACTTAGTGAGACTCTGTCAGAAAATAAGTTATAAAGGGCTAATGACTTACTTGAGTGGTAGAAAGATTTCCTGCCATGTACCTCAGTACCAAAGGAACAGGAAGAGGATAGTAATGTTCAAGGTGGTGTAGTAGGGTTTCTGTTGCTGTGAAGAGACACCGTGACCACGGCAACTCTTATAAAGGAAAAACATTTAATTGGGGCTGGCTTACAGTTTCAGAGGTTTAATCCATTATCATCATGGTGGGACATGGCGGCCTTCAGGCAGACATGGTGCTGGAGAAGGGGCAGAGTGTCCTACATCTTGACTTGCAGGCAACAGGAAGTGGTCTGAGTCACTAGACTTGAGCATGTATGAGACCTCAAAGCCCACCTCCGCAGTGACACACTTTCTCCAAGAAGACCATACCCACTCTATCAAAGCCACACCTAGTAGTGCCACTCCCTGTGAGCTTACGGGGGCCAGCTGCATCAAACCACAGATGGTAATGTTCAGTCCTCAGTACCAAAGGAACAGGAAAAGCATGGTGATGTCACCTTTAATTACTATTTCTCTTCGCAGAAAAAAATTGTGCCTGCCAGAACAAGCAAGGCAAAACAGGATGATAACGGAAGAATGGCGGCTAGAAATCGTCTCGCTGCTATAAAAAATGCGATGAGAGAGAGACTGAAGCAAGAAGAGCATGCCCCAGCCGCAGCTGTGGAAGCACCAAAGGAAGTTGACAAAATAGTGTTCGATGCTGGGTTTTTCAGGATTGAGAGTCCTGTCAAATCGTTTGCAGGTTTGTGTTTTTGCAGAGACTTAACAGAAGTATTTGGGCCAAATGGGAGCTTGTGTAAAAGGTGCAAAGTAATTTTCATGTGAAAAGACGAAAGTGCACTGATTTCTAGAAAACAGACGATATGCTAGCAAACCCACCTGCAAATCACATGTTTGGAGGCGTGATCAGATTGGTTTGTGCGTGATTTATCTTTTAAGATCATGTTTGTGTTTTCCAAGAGATTCCGTAGCTGCTACTGCCATGTAATCCCAGTCTGTAGGTTCTGTGACAAGTTAGATTAGAATTAAGATGCAAAAGAAATTGGACCTGGGCTTTGCACTTCCAGAGCGGTCCAGCTGACTGCAGCCTGCCTCTCGGCACATGAGAGATGGGAAGGTACTGGAGCTACTTTGGTGGAAACCTATACATCGCTGCATTTTGTTTACTGTTCATTGAGATTCTTGGGACCAAATTCAGCTTTGCATAAGTAAGCTAGGCAAGCACTTGTCCATTGAGCAATGGCCTCCCTTTTTGAAATTATCGCCTTTGAGACAAGGTCTGGTTATGTTTCCCAGGCTGTCCTTGAACTCATGCAGGCCTGGAACTTGCTCAAATCCTCCTGCCTTTGCCTCTGGGGAGGCTGGGGTGTAGGCTTGTACCACCGGGCTATTGTTAGAGTTTTTCTGCCTGGCCCACAGTCAGGACAAATCTCTCTCACCCGCCAGTCCCAAGCCGCTCAAACCCGATCAAGTAAACACAGACACTTATATTGGTTTCAAACTGTATGGCCGTGGCAGGCTTCTTGTTAACTGTTCTTACAGCTTAAATTAATCCATTTCTATTAATCTATACCTTGCCACGTGGCTTGTGGCTTACCGGTACTTTACATCTTCCTTGTCCTGATGGCGGCTGGCCGTGTCTCCCCGACTCAGCCTTCCACTTTCCAGCTCTATTCTCCTCCTTGTCCCGCCTACACTTCCTGCCTGGCCACTGCCAATCAGTGATTTATTCATTGACCAATCAGCAACACATTTGACATACAGACCGTCCCACAGCACCGGGTCCCACTTCATATCACTGAATTCAAATGTTTTTCTGTATGTTACCTGCTCACTCCACTTGAGATCACTCTGTCACCTCCTGCTAGGACTATCCGATTCTGGCACCACCATTCAAGTGCTGATGGGGGAAAGCTGAGTGTCTCAACAATTCGTTTGTAAATATTCCCTTGTTTCCGTGTATTAACCTGTTTTTTAGCTATATCCGGTAACTACATCAGGTTACAGCCTATGTCTCAACCTTCCAGGAAATATTCTGCTTTACAAAATAATCAAAGGAACTTATTATAATTAATATTCAAACTGGGGTTTTGTTTTTGTTTAGTTTTTCAAGACAGGGTTTCCCTGTGTAGCCTTGGCTGTCCTAGAATTCACTCTGCCAGGTTGACACTCTTGACCCAAGCATTCATTTGGGTTAGCTAAGGAGTTGCTCACTTGCTAATTTTATTATACCTCGTAAAATATTCTCACTGTTGTCTCATATTGTCAGAGCTGCCCCTTTTTATTTTTAAGTTTTAGTGTTTTATGTATGTAGATGCTTTGCCTGCATGGTTGTCTGCACCGTGTGTGCCTGGTGCCTGCAGAAGCCAGAAGAGGGCGTCAGAGCCCCAGGGCCTGGAGTTAGAGCTGTTGTGAAGCACCATGGGGTGCCGGGAGTCAAACTTGGTTCCTCTAGGAGAGCAGTTAGTGGGGTTTTTGGGTTTTGGGTTTTGGTTTGGTTTGGTTTTGGTTTTGGTTTTTTGAGACAGGGTTTCTCTGTGTAGTTTTGGTGCCTGTCCTGGATCTCACTCTGTAGACCAGGCTGGCCTCGAACTCACAGAGATCCGACAGGCTCTGTCTCCCCAGTGCTGGGATTAAAGGCATGCGCCACTGCTGCCTGGCCCAAAGTCAAACCTTTTTTTTTTTTTTTTTTTTTTTTTCTCGAGACAGGGTTTCTCTGTGTAGCTTTGCGCCTTTCCTGGGACTCACTTGGTAGCCCAGGCTGGCCTCGAACTCACAGAGATCCGCCTGGCTCTGCCTCCCGAGTGCTGGGATTAAAGGCATGCGCCACCACCGCCCGGCTAAAAGTCAAACCTTTTAAGAGCAGTTCTATAATATTACAGGCACGGGATAGCAAAGGGACACGTTGTCTAAGCGATAATTCTTCAAAGGAAGTCCTTGGCACTTGTCAGATGTTGACAAGAGAAGGCCTAGTTAGGATTTGCATTGCCTTTCTGAATGAAAAGTGAATGAAAGGACTTTTGCTATGGAGGTTACTTTCTTTTTCTAGCACTTTCTTCTGAACGTCATTCTCAGAGATTTGGAGCACTTAAGTCTGCCAGCAGAGTTGTTCCTGAGAGTGGGGCTGCAGGGGACCTTCTGAGACAAAGGGTTTCGCTGGAGAATTCTGATCTTCACAGCAGCAAGAGTGAAAGTGTCAATAAGACATTGTTTTCAGACATTCTTGAAAGCAGGTATTTCTTTACTGTGCATTACAGGTTTAACAGTACTGATATTAACTGTCATTTCTCATGGTTAAGCTGGTAAAATGTGACGGACATTTCACAGATGGATGACCTGTAACAAGCTAGACTTGCTCTTTTCTAACTGAGATTTCAGGTCAGAAGTAAGTTTGGTGGTGGTAATCCTGGCCACTCAGGAGACAGGTGGAGGGATGATTTAACCAGGAGTTTGAGACCAGCCTTAGTGACACAGCCTGTCTTAAAAGAAAGCAGAAAGTTCAGAGTTGATAGGTGGTCATGTTTAGATGGGCAGAGTGTATGGTGCAGTACAGGGGAGAGAAAAGCAGACTGGTGTCCTGGTGTTTAGCAGAGCTGAGCTCAAGACCCACCACGTGACTGGCCAGCTGTGAAAACTGGGGGCATGTTAGTTAAGTGAGATTCACTCTCTTCATCTCCAGAGCAGGACTGATGACAGTCTGCTGCTTCTGGGGGTGCTCGAGAGGCACAAACTGTCGTACTGGTTGTTATAGGAAGTAGCCAGTGTGTGCAGACAACCTAGACTAGCCAGTGTGTGCAGACAACCTAGCCGTCACTTTAGGTTATCACCTAGTGTCCGCCCTTACAGCAGCCATGTCAGGTACCCAGTGAGGAAAGTTAAATGGTGTCTTAATGAAACTCCACTTGCAATTGGTCAAACTGGATCCATAAGAATGTCACCTCTCCATAAATGCATCAAAATAATCTAATAATGGTTCATAAATGCACAGCCCGTCTGATGGGGAAAGGGATTTTAAACAAGTAGGAAATAAAATTGTAATCTGATGTCTAGACAAGATTATTGGGCTTATGAACTAATCTGAATTTTGGAAAGTGTTGAACACTCATCACAGCAAACAGTATCACTGAGGCTGGGGGAGGGGGGGGGGGGCAGGGAGCCTGGCCGTGCGAGTGAAAGCAGGCGAAGTTCATGAACGCTCTGAACTATTGGATAAAGTCTTTCTAAATCTCCAGTATACACAAAAGCATCTTTAGCCTTTAGGGCTACAAAAATGCTTTTGGTATTATAAAAATCTGTTTTGTAAACTACCAATTTATTATCCTATTACTTTGTATAACTTATGGTTTATTATGTGTAATAGCATTTGACTCATAAGTATTTGTCCCCTCGGAATGAGAATCTGGGGCCAGCAAGATGGCTCAGTGGGTGAAGGCGCCTGATTTGCAGGCCTGGGGCCCGAGTTGGGTCTGTACAAACAATGTAAAGAACAGAGGAGAGCTCACTGCTGCCAGTCACTCGGACCTCCCATGTGCAGTGTGGCCTTCACACACATACAGTTAACTCTTTCAAATGTTCACTTGCAAATGTCCTTCAAGAAGGCATCTTAAAAACAAACAACTTTGCAATAAGTTGTTCTTCAAGATTCATTTTTGTTAATCCCAGCACCCAGGAGGCAGAGGCAGGTGGCTTTGAGTTCCAGGCCAGCCAGGGCTACACAGAGAAACCCTGTCTTGAAACCCCCCCCAAAAAAGATTGATTTTTATTATGTGTGTATACATTACGTGTATGCTTCATGTGTGTGTAGGTACCTGCAAAGACCGTGGGGGGGGGTGTGGGTGTGTGTGTCCCACAGAGTGCAGAATAGGGTTCTAGGTTTCCTGAAGCCTGAGTTACAAGCAATTATAAGCTGACCAACATGGGAAGCAAACTCCCACCCTCTGTAAGAACAACAAACTCCATCTCTCAAGAAGAGAATTTTTTTTTTTTTTTTTTGGTTTTTTTTTTTTCTTTCGAGACAGGGTTTCTCTGTGTAGCTTTGCACCTTTTCTAGATCTCGCTCTGTAGACCAGGCTGGCCTCGAACTCACAAAGATCCGCCTGCCTCTGCTGAGATTAAAGGCGTGCGCCACCACCGCCCAGTCAGAAGAGAATATTTTTAAAACAAACTTTGAAGAGATGGAAATTAACATTCTGTTTATTCACTTTGAACGTGTGGATTCATGCATTCATGCCGTGGCATGGTGTGTGGAGGCCAGAGCACAACTTTTCAGGGATCAGTTCTCCTCCCAACATGTTCCAGGGGTTGAACTCAGGTCATCAGACTTGGTGGCAGGGAACCATCTCGTGGGTCTCCAAAGAGACTGTGACAGATAAATATCTTAATTTGTATTTTATTAACGTACAAAAAAATGAGTTTCGTTGTGACAGTCTCAGGTCTTGTTTTTTTGGTGGTGCTGGGATTAACACAGAGTCTCACACATGCTAGGCAAGTACTCTGCCAGCCCTATACTTTGATCTTTTAAATTACATTCTTATGTATGCATGTTGTGTCTGAACGTTTGTGGGCCCATGCATACCCAGATCTGGTTTAAACCTACTTATGATTAGAATATATTGAATTATACTAAAGTAAATGTAGCTGACCTGCAGACAGCATGGCATGCCTGTAGTCCCAGAACTTGGGAAGCTGAGGAAGGAACACTGAGAAGCCAGCCTGGGTTACATAGCAAGACTCTTTCATGAAAAACAGAGCAAATCCGGCTACACAATAATTGAGTTGCTCTGCTTCAGAGGTCAGCCTCATCTTGACCCTAGATATGTGGCTCTGGATTTGGCTACGATTCAGCGTTGCAGGTGGAGCCGTATTAGGCTGAGTAATTGGCACAGGAATGGGACCTGTGAGCCATCAGACAGTAACTGTAACCAGTCTGTACAGTTGAGGCAGGCTCTTGGGCCAGGCTCTATCTATGACTTCATTAGGCAAACTAACAGCCTCCATGAAGGATGGACTCAAAGCACAGGTCGAAGGACTGTGATATGCTTGATTATTGGAGTATAACCATCGTCTGTTTCAGGTCCAGCAGAGTGGAAGACACTTCGAGTCCTGGAGAGCAAGATTCAAGTGCCATAGGCCATGTAAGTCTATTGCAAGGTGGCGGTAGGTAGCCAAGGGTGTCATATATTTGTGTCAGACAGGAAGTAACTCAAAGAAAGGAAGTCTAAGTGAATCATGCAAAGTCATCATTCTCATTTGAATGGCCCTTGGGTGGTTTGAAACATAGCTCTCTTTGTATTCTTCAGGCCACATCAAGATGAATATAGAGCCAGTGAACTAGAGCAAGGGCCAGCAATCTTCGGCCTCTTTTTCAGTGTTTTGAATGACTTCATGTGTAAATGTTTTGCCTGCGTATGTATATCTGTGCCCTGTGTGCATGTAGTGCCCGTGGGGTCAGAAGTGGGTGTCAAGTGCCCTGAACATGGAATCACAGCAGATTGTGAGCTGCCGTGTGGGTCCTGGGAATCAAACTCTCATCCTCTGGAAGAGTTTGATGACGTAGCTGTGCACGTCTGTGTTATGTCTGTCTTTTACTCTGTAGACCTGGCAGGCTTGGACTGGAACCTCTTGTGCCAGCATCCTGGGTAGCACTGTAGTCTGCTGCCACCAGGCCCAGTTTGCTCTTGTAAATTTACTTTTCTTTCACAAAAAAGTTTGCCCATCTTTGAGCTGGATGTAGGTGCTTGCTGAGAAGCCTGCCTTCATTCCTATTAGTTCTTTGAGATGTGAAGCGAGACAGTAGGACTCAGTGTTCTTTAGACTTTTTATGGGTTTTTTGTTGTTGTTTTGACAGGGTTTCTCTGTGCAGCAGCACTGGCTGTTCTGGAGCTCTTTGTGGACCAGGCTGGCCTTGAGCTCACAGAGATCCACCTGCCTCTGCCCCCTTAAGTTCGTGGATTAAAGACATGCACCACCTCCACCCAACATTCTTTAAACTTTTCAATATGTCAGCCTTCTGGTTTTTTTTTTCTTTCTTATATTTCACAGCAGTAAGACTTTTTTATTTGTTCCAATTATGAGTAATTGGAATCTATGATGCCCATTTTTACCTCTAGGATGTAAATAAGATGAATGTCGAGATGGATTGTTCTCCTGCTGGCAGAGTGGCGGATGATACTAAGCAGACAGAGGCTCTTTCCGATGTGGAAGGTGCGGAGCTACATTCTAAAGTCAACTCCCAAGATGTGCTGATGAGTAATCCTGAGAAAAACTCCCCCTCACCAAGTGTCTCCTCACAGGAAGAAGTCGAAGTGTCCCAGTCAGGTAAAGTCTTCTCAGATATAGCAAGCCTGGGTTAAACAAATTAGACGAAGGTGTGATTGTTATAGGATTCTGAGAAGAAGTTTCTCATGATGTAGGTTAAGATGTTAGAGGCTCACTGGAAATATCATGCAAACTAGTTTCAGAATACTTTGTTCTTCAACCATGTGTGGTGGACCAAAGCAGAGACAGGAGGATTACTCCTAGTTCAGGGCTAGCCTGTCCTACACATGGTGTTCCAGGCCAGCAAGAGCAATACAGTGAAACCCTGTCTCAAAACAACAGAGTCTGGTGCTTCTGACCAGAGGCTTGAGAGACAGGTGCTGGTCCACACTGGAGATGAGGGGCATTGGTGTAAAACCTGGTTGGGAGCCCACACAGTCAGAAAAATTCCTTCAGTTCCCTTCTTCTGCCCATATCCCCAAAACTGTCTTCAAAATCCTCCATTTTTTCCTCTCAAATGCCTGTTTCTATCTACTTATGTGTTGTGATTATTCTGTAAAAGGGACTGGGCCTCACATTTGTGCTACAGTATAATGAGGGCCTCATCTCCTGTTCTGTGATACTGTTCTCAGGTCTGCTGGAGACCTAAGGGACAGTACAATGTTACAGCTATGCAGACTTTTAATGTCTTTACCTGGACTTCTTTTGTGTGAAACATGATCTCACTACGTAGCCCTGACTGGTCTGTAACTTGCTGTGTAGACCTGCTGTGCAGGACCTCATGTAGATCTACCTGCCCCTGCCTCCTGAGGGCTATGATTAGAGGTATGCATCACCACCACCTGGCCACCCCTATACCTAACGTAAGAATTTTACCTAGAAATCTAATTGCATTAAAAAATGGCTGGGCATGGCTTTGTCTTAGCATTTGATTGTAGTTTTCCTATCTTTTAAAGCTTTGTCCATTTGTAACAACCCTTGACCTGAAGAATGTTCTTTAAAGTGATTTTCTCTTGTTTTTCAGTACCGTTGCACAGACAGGTCACTTCTGAGCTCTACCCTCTCGATCCAGTAAGTTCTCATCTTAATTGGGCAAGTGTCTGTATGTTCTAGATTTTTCCGACTGTAAAGTTTTTGATTTTTATCTTACTTATGGTTACTGTGTGGGTGCGAGCATGGCACAGCATGTGTATGGAGCTTGGAGGACAGGTTCTGGGAGTGAGTTCTTCCCTCTGTTGGGGTTTCCAGGGATGGAACTGAAGTCGCCACCCCTTTTGCCTGCTGAGACTTCTCACCCATCCTGGTTTTGTTTGGTTTCAGAATAGGGTCTTGTTCTGAAGACCAGGCTAGCCTCTAACTCTCCCTCTCTGGTACTGAGATTTCAGTTGCTTGTCTAAAATGAAACTCGCTCCCTTTTCACTTGTGTGCAGGATTTGTCTTGCCATTGCCTGTGCTTGTGCTGAACTGTATACATTATCTGTCCTTCTAAAGTGGGAAAGGGCTGGAGGACCCAGCCGCAATGGCTGCCCTCCCAGAGCACCTGGATTCAGGTCCCAGCACCCACACGGCAGCACACACCATCTGTAACTATAGTTCCAGAGGATCCACTGCCCTCTTCTGGCCTTCGTGGGCAGAACACCCATGCACATGCAATGCATGTATTTTTAAATTTTTTTTTTTTTTGATTTAGCTATTTATTATAAGCGCCAGATCTCATTACAGATGGTTGAGAGCCACCATGTGGTTGCTGGGAGTTGAACTCAGGACCTCTGGAAGAACAGTCAGTGCTCTTAACTACTGAGCCATCTCTCCAGCTCCGTATTTTTAAATTTTTAATTGAGAAAAGGCTTCCACATTTATATCCTCTAATAGTCTTAACCCCTGGCATGCATTTTGCTATTCAAATCTGATAGGACAGATTGGCTGAAAACTTACCAAATAAGTGGCTTGGATTCTGCCAGATGTTTCTAAATGGTTCAAGGTTTTTTGTTTTGTTTATAATTTATTTATTTTTATTTTATGTGCATTGGTGTTCTACCTGTATACATGTCTGTGTGAGGGTGTCAGATCTTGTAGTTACAGACAGTTGTTAGCTGCCATGTGGGTGCTGGGAATTGAACTCATGACCTCTGGAAGAGCAGTCAGTGCTCTTAACCACTGAGCCATCTCTCCAGTCCCTCAGGTTTTTATAATAAACTATGAAAAAAGAAAAGATCCAGGCAGTGATGGCGCATGCCTTTAATCACAGCACTCAGGAGGCAGAGGCAAACAGATCTGAGTTCGAGGCCACCCTGGTCTACAGAGTAAGTTCCAGGACAGCCAGGACTACACAGAGAAACCCTGTCTCAAAAAAAAAAAAAAAAAAAAAAAATTAAAAGATTGCTTTACATTAGGTCGTGCGTTTTTGATAATTTCATTGTTACATAGGGAAACTTAACGAAACTTATTAATTGGCAGTGCAGGAAGTTTATTGGGGGCACCTGTTGATGATGAACTCAGTGACTTCTCTGCATTTGCTCTTCAGCCAGCCCTGAGCAGCAGCAGTCCCTGCACACGAGTGGAGACCAGCCAGCCAGCCCGTGCCAGACACATGTCCTTTGGTGGCGACCTCATCGTCTTCTCACCGCTGAGACCCCGAAGTAGAGAGCACCAGGAGGGTTTTTAACTTCAAAATAACTCCAAACAGTTTTTTTCCTTCATATCATTAACTCTCTGATAGTTCTTAAATTGTTGGAAATTTTGAGAATATGCATTAGTATTCACTTCTGTTTGGTCTATTTATACTGTATTACATGATGTTTTAATGTCCAGTGTTCATTCACACTTCGGTGGTGATCCTGTAAATATGCAGGTTATGTAAAATATGAAACGTGAAGCAATATTCACATCTGCATCCTCATTTTCTGCTTCTTCATTTGAACTCCTGGGTCTGTTGACAGCAAAGAGCGTTGATTTCCTTAGTTCCTTTAGATGAAGTTTTCTGGATCATGAAGTCCATTTATTAGAGGTCAATCCTGTTGACTCTGCTAATTGTCTCTTTAACAGAGCTAGCTACCATTGGCAAGGTGGGTCGAGGGGGATCTTAATAAATTCTTAATTACAGGATGCTGTGAGCTGCCTCATGTGGGAGCTGGAAGCCAAGTCCTGGAAGAGCAGTGTGCACTCTTGACTGAATCATCACTCTAGCCCTATTCTTTGATAAACTCTTAGCTTTGTGATTATAAAACACAGTGCTAATTCAGGAGGGAGACAGCCCAGCAGATAATGGCACTTCACATGGCATATGCCACCCCACACACATACGTACCTACATATATACATACATGCATGCATACATGCATGCATACATACATGCATACATACATACATACATACAATAGAAAATCAATACAAAACACAGTGCTCCAGACAATAGCACTAACAAATGCTAATGGCCAGACCTGCATTGTTGTTTTGGTCTGAGTGTGAGCCGAGGATTGGAAGAAGACATTCTACAATAGGAACTTTGTAGGTTATCTTTTAAGATTAGACATTTTCAAAAGAGAAAGGTCAATCTACCTTTGATGTCAGAAGTAGATGTGATTGCCGCTGGGGAAAGATGGTGTTTATTATGAAGCCCAAGCAACTTATTGGAAGGTTACATAAGGTGTTTGCACAAAAGAATGTTCGTGGAATGCCTCTCACCAAAAGATGAAGATAGATAACAGTCCACTAATGTGTAGTGAGCTTTGTTGTCGGCCACCAGCTCACAAATAACGACACGGAGACTTCTTAATTATGGAAGCTTAGCCATTAGCTTGAACTGGTCCCACTAGCTCTTATAACTTCAATTAACCTATTCATATTAATCTATGTTCTGCCACATGGTATTACCTTGTCTCCATACTGCCCATCTTGCATACTTCCACCTTGTCTGGCTGGCAATTCCACCTTTCTTCCCAGAGTCCTCTCTGTCCCCAGAAGTCCCGCCTATCTCTCCTGCCTAGCTATCGGCTGTTGAGCTTTTTATTACACCAATCACAGCAACACATCTTTACACAGTGAACAAATAATCCACAACACTATTGAATGATGGAAAGTTCCAGGGCAGTAAGATTGCCTCATGGGTAAGGGCACGAAGCTTGACCTGAGGTTGATGCCTGGACCCTACATGGTGGAAGGAGAGACCAAGCTCTCTGCATGTTCCTATTCCTTCAGGTGGTGGTTGCAAGTGCTTGCTTTTTGGTTTTGGTTTTGTTTTAATGTATATGAGTGACCTGCCTTCATGCACACCAGAAGAGAGAATCAGAGCCCATTATAGGTGGTTGAGCCACCATGTTGTTGCTGGAAATTGGGACCTCTAGAAGAACATCCAGTGTTCTTAACCGCTAAGCCATTTCTCCAGCCCCTGCAAGTGCTTGACTTTACCAACCTTTTGATTTCTGTTCTTCCTGGGACACCAGCTTGTGACAATTGCCAGTTTAAATTATTTGAGAAGATAGCATTGTAGAACAGACAACTCTGACATTTCCCTAATCTTTGAGTTTATTGGTGATAGGAAAGATAGAAGCTTTAGGTATGAGAATATATCAAAACCAAGACACAGAAAGCCTCATTGGTATCAAATACTGGTTTGAAGGCAATGACCTATGGCTTTAGAAGAAAAATGGGCTAAAAACAGCCTACACTACAGCTATTTCAGAACTATATATGTGACTGCCCCATAAATTGTGACTGAGAATGGTTCCAGTCACCTAGTGGTGTGACCTTGGCAGTGGAGCACAGTGTACATGATTGCAGTGATGCTATGTGAGCATCCTGCTCCCTGTTGTATGGAAGAGTCTACATGGTACACCACATAATTCTTGGAGACAAATGCAGTGTGCATTAGCAGCCTCAATCCCTCTTTTTACTGTGTCCAGATTGGGTTCTGTACATGCACCCTTTGATCTTTACTCGGAATCACCTAACGGTACTAAGTACTCGGAATCACCTAACAGTACTAAGTAGCATGACTGCCCAGATGCCAGTGGTGACTCCCTACTGGTGAACTGTTAGCACTCCTCATATATTTCCTTTTAGAAATTCAGGATGGCTTACTAATATTACATACTTTCCTTTACATTACTTACACTGCTCCAACTGAAAGGGCATATAAAGACAAGCAGCTAGAGCAGGCCTTGGTGGACCTGACTAGTCCCAGCACCTTGGGGAGAGAGATGTAAGTCTTCCTGAATGGGCAACTCAACCATCCTCTCTGGAAAAAAAAAAGGGGGGGGTGGGGAGAGGGGACTGCAAAGATAGCTCAGCAGCTAAGAGCCTGAACCACTCTTGCCGAGGACCTGAGTCTGGTTCCCAAGCATCCGTGATAGGTAGCTCACAACCACCTGTGACTCCAACTCCAAAGGTCTTAATGCCTCTCGCTTGTGAGCAGGCACCTACAAGTGCACACAGACACAGTTTAAAGGGCTGGGGCTGTGTAGCTCAGTAATAGAACACTTGCCTAGCACTCACAGGTGCTAGTACCTAGTATCAGAAAACAAACAAAAACCAGATATCCATCAGCACGAAAATATTTATTAAATGGATGCCTTACAAGAAGGATAAAAAGGAATAAATGTAAAGTTTTCCACTCTTAATGAGCACGGAGCCTTAAATGCGTAACATTTAACTCCGGCTTTGCACGATGCCCCTCCTGGATTAGATCATGGTGGGTGAAACACTGGTAAGGGTTACGTCACCAGAAACTTCCACTTGGTTGATTTCCCTGAGATTTTTCATCCGATGGTTGTACTGCAGCAGGTGAGCATCGTTGACTGCAACCTTGAAATGGTCAGGTTCAACCAGCACTTGGATCTAGAAACCAGATAGGGAAACCGTCAGGGAGAGTGAGCACGTGGTACCTCGCGCAATTCAGGCGGCCCACCATGTGTACGCTTTTCAGGACCAGTATACTGTCCATGGGGTGTAATTTTCCTTTGTCAGTTTCTATAGAAAGAGGGTAGGAGGGGAGAGATGGCTCAGGAGTTAAGATCACAGGCTAATCTTCCAGAGGTCCTGAGTTCAATTCCCAGCACCCACATGGTGGCTCACAACCATCTGTAATGAGACCTGGTGCCCTCTTCTGGCCTGCAGTCATACATGCAGTAAGAAATATTAATTAAAAAAAAAAAAAACAAGAGGGAAGGAAGAAATAGACAGATTGATTTTAAACCAGTGTAACCTGAGTTCAGGAAGCCCAACATTTCATTTTTTTTTTTTTGTGGAATGATAAAGATCAGAGACAGTAACTGCATAGCAAAATGAATCTAGGTTGTCAGATTTAAACCACAGTAAAAAGGCATCAAAATTATCAGAAGGATGGATAATGGAAACCATAAAAGTATAATTTGCCTACACATAAGTTTAGTTTTAATGGGTCCCAAAATACCTAAAAGTTAAAAACAACATAGGAAGACATTCATTAATAACAAATATTAATTTATAGGACTGGTTGGTTTATAGCCAGTTTGGGAAAGGCCAGGAAACGCACTCCCGATAGTGAGTGGACATTCATCCTTAAACCTTGTAGTATAAAAGAGGGTAAGTTTGGAGCTGTCCAGTGACGATGTTGAGGGTCCCGAAGGAACTGGATGACATGCCTCTCCTGGCCACATCCCCAGCCTGCTGAGCCTGGTCGCTGGGGTGGGGAGGAAGATTGGCTAGGTGCCCGGGACAAGCATGGGGTTTTCGAGTGGTCCCCTTCCTAAGAGCGCTGTCTGCATATGGCGGCGGCGACTTACTTTGAATGGTTGGCCACTCTGAAATGGGAAAGTTGACTGTCTTTCCTCCCGGCCCCAGTTGTTATGCTCTTTGGTGTTGCACACAATGACCCTCTTGTTGTTCTCATTGAAGCGGGGGTTAAAGTGGAAGGCAACGTCATCCCCTTTCTTGAAATTTAGAGTAATCCTGTGTTAAACCAGAAATTAAAGATATTAAAGTATGTATCAAGTCAAGAGCATCTAAGTTTCTAAAAAGCAAACCTTTCTGTAATATATAGGGATTGTTTTCCTGTAGCAAATAAATAATAAAGGAAGCAAATAAGTCAGAGCATGAGTTCCAACCCAAAAAAAGAGCAGGCCCATCATCTCATGACGGTGATCAACTCAAAAGTCTAAGAAGGGCAATATGTGTGGTCTGTTCACCGAGACAGGGTCTCACTTAGGATGGTGCCTCCCATGCAGAATCAGAGGAGCAAATGTAAGCCTATCAAAGCTGTGTCCATCTGGTGACAGAATATGGCTCCCATTCCTTTACCAGATATAAACGACTACAGAGGAATTCATAGCTTCATTCTGGTTTTTTGACACAGAGTCTTGCTCTATATAGTCCAGTCTGTCCTTGAACTTAGAATCTTCCATTTCTATCTCCTACAAGCTGGGATTGTGGCTATGACCACCATATCCAATCCTCTACTTAAAGGTTCTTAAATAAACCTGTGCATCTGGCTGGAATATCTCCCTTTTGTAGATGTAACCAACCTTCTTATTAAATAAGAAACACAGAATCAATGCAAAGAAGAAAGCCAAGAGGTCAGAGCTAAGAGCTAAAACCTTACCCTTCCTCCTGCGGTGGTCCTACCTCTCCGAACCAGAGCTACCCCTGTGTTAAAGTCTTTATATAGAGTTCCTGTTCTGGCTTCTCATTGGTTGTAAGCCCAACCACATGACCGCCTCGTCACGGCCTGTCTGTATAGGCCTCCAGGTTTTCCATGATTGGTATTGAGATTAAAGGCATGTGTATCCAATAATGGCTGTATCCCTGAACACACAGAGACTTACCTAGCTCTGCCTACCAAGTGCTGGGATTACAAGCGTACGCCACCACTGCCCTGCTTTCCTATGGCTTGCTAATAGCTCTGACCCCGGGCAACTTTATTTATTAACATACAAATAACATTTTAATACAAATAAAATATCACCATACCCTTTTGTCTATAAGACTTAGAAACAGACTCACTAACGATCACAGGGGTGTTGATGGCACCACTGACATCAGGGACAGGCGAAATGGATTGCTCTGGACACTCAGCTGCATCGTATCACATGTAAGTATAACTAGAAGTGATCACTGGGTCCAGTCTGCCCCTGGCTGCTATAAATTGGCATAGGTATCCTAAATTACCTCCCCCCAACCTGGTCCACCTCCGTCAAACCTGCCCCAGTGGCAAACGTTGGTTTGTTTTGAAGAAATCTTTTAACAGAATCTTCTCCAACCCTTTAAATAATAATGCCCACTCAGAAGGGTGGGCTTCCCAGCTTGCTGGTCACTGCTGGTAAGAACTAAGCCTCAGTTTTATCTGTCAAAAGGGAAAGCAATGGTCCTTGCCCTGCTTTCACTCATAAAGATCAGAAGATATGACACACACAGTTGAGGATGCTAGCATTCACTCCGAACAGCCCTGACAGAAAAATCACAAGGCATCAACTACTACAGGCTAATCCATGGGACAGCCCAGCCAGGATTCTAACATGCCCTTTGTAACGTCTTAAGATCGTCTTTATTCCAAAGCCAATCAAGAGACTGGTTGGGCCGCTGGCGCCCCCCTCATTACTTGTTTGCGTTGGGTTTCACTGTGCCCATGATGGTGATCAGCATGCGGGGTGTGACTCCTCCAGGCAAGGGCAGGTGATAGGGCACGGTCTGGAACAGACGAGAATGTGTGTGTCAGTAAGGCATTGTGTTTTCCTGGGGGAAGTAGAATTCCATTGCTAACACTGTTACGATGCGTGTGACTAACACAGAACCCTAGTTTAGGCCACCTGTCTAGATGCTGAGGCCATCTTGCCACAGCCTAAAGTGATAAAGTTCCCAGTGTGCACAAACAAAATAATAAAAATGAGACAGGGTCGGTCTCTTCCTCCCTCCCCCCCTCCCTCCCTCTCTCTTTCTCTCTCTCTCTCTCTCTCTTCTGAGACAGGGTTTCTCTGTGTAGTTTTGGAGCCTATCCTGGATCTCGCTCTGTAGACCAGGCTGGCCTCGAACTCACAGAGATCCGCCTGGCTCTGCCTCCCGAGTGCTGGATTTAAAATTGTGCACCACCACTGCTTGGCAAGACAGGGTCTCTCTGTTTAGACCAGGTTGGCCTCAAACTCACAGAGACCCACCTGCCTCTGCCTCTGAGTGCTGGGATTAAAGGCGTGCATCATTATGCCCAGCTCATTACCACCATCTTAACTGGATTTATATTAAAGCACTTTATCAATGCCTTATCATCTCTCTATACTAACAGGTCACAGAACAAACTCAATAGGAACATTCCTTTTTCCACCTGACTAATATACTCCTGTGGCTGGCCCTTGAGACACGGCTATAAGCAGCAGGCTTAAAGATAACCTCCCTACTGTCCTCTCCTCGGGATATCAAGCCCATGAAACAACTCTTCCTCCTTACCAGTGATCCAGTGGGGGCACCATAGGGGCCAGCAGCAGGATAGGCCCCGGGAGCACTCGGGTAGGCTCCGGGTCCTCCAGGCTGCCCTGGCAAGGCCCCAGGGGCAGGAGGTCCGGGGAAAGCTCCTGGGGCAGTTGGGCCAGGGTAAGCTCCAGGGGCAGTTGGGCCAGGGTAGGCACTAGGAGGAGTCTGCCCAGGATACGCCCCTGGAGGACCCTGTCCTGGGTAGGCCCCAGGATAGGCAGCCCCTGGGTAGCCCCCTGCCCCAGGCTGGTTCCCCCATGCACCGGGCCATCCTTGAGGGTTTGGGTTTCCAGGGCCAGCTAAGGCATCATTAAGCTGTAAAGAAAGGCAAACAGTTAGAGGTCGGTACTCATTCACAAAATAGAATTCACAGGACTACAGGCATTTGTGACCCGAGAAGCTGAGAAATAAGAGAAGGTTCACTGTGCCCTTGCCTACACTACTGTTTGAGTTCCAAGCACTCAGACTTTGGGATTGAGTCTCTGCGGTTTACTTTGAGTCTGGCCTCTCATCATCACAGATCAGGGCCTCTAAGCTCTTCTAACTGACACCAGGAACCGCCATGGGCCTGCTGCTTTCATCAGGGAAGTCACTGCTGCGGAGGCCAGGTCTCTCCCTGGAATCTGCTGCTGGAAAAGCAAGCCTCCAGCTAACAGGCCCTGAGCAGACAAGCCAGAGGGAATTTCATGGTAGGAGGGTCGGTCAAAGGGAAAGCTGGGTGGTAGGAATAAAACCTTTAACCCTGTGAGCACGTCAGGCTAAGAAAGCAGAAATGAAACACTTACCGAAAAACTGTCTGCCATTTTCCTAAGAGAAAAAAAAAAGCCAAAGGGGGTTATTATTTGAACCTAAAGGATTTAGCATCCCAAATAGTTTATGGGCAATTCCATAGTTTATGGGCAGTCTACAATCATTTTGCCCAAGTCAATGGTGGAGGACCAAAAGACATCTTGTGGTGGGGCGGGGATACTTTCTAGCTAAATTCCAAACTGACCTAAGTTGTGGAGTTAGACCTTGGTGCCAGGAGCTCCTGTTCTGAAGCCTGAGAGTAAAGCCTTGAGGGGCAAAGAGCAGGGTGAGCACTTCCTGCCTCTTCTCTAGGTGAAATATCATATAAGGTGTGGCTTCTCTGGCTGCCTTCCTCCCTAGATTTCTCTACCCTTGAAAGGATTCACGTGCAGCACAGGCCAACCCTTTCTCTCCCCAGCCCTTCTGGACACTGGGAGGAAGCGGTGCAGCAGTTCCTACTGAGGTCTCCAAGACAGCTGACAGAGCTGCTGCCTGTCACACCCGATTTATCCTCCACTGGCACACCCGATGCCTGCTCGGAGGCACCACTTTCCATGTGGTCCCAGGAAGGACCACAGACCAGCAGGGGACATGAGATGCATGCACACAAGGGTGTTATCAATGCCACCAGACTCTGCTGGGACATTCAAATCTGAGAGCTTACTTGTGAGTTGGGAAGGGAGATGGTGTTGGACCAAAGCCTTGACGGGCAGGTGACATCTGGGAGTGTTTGTGTCCTTGGATTTGGGGATGTTTTGTTTTATACTTTAGAAAGGTCTTTCTAGGTAGCCCATCCTGACCTTGAACTTAGGATCCTCTTGCCTCAGCTTCTCAGGTGCTGGCTGTGGTGTGAGCCACTGTGCCTAGCTTCTCTTAAAGGTACTTGTTATTCCAAATAAAACGTTCAGCAGTAAAGCAGCCGAACAGAGGTGAGTCAGGTGGCGATGGGCACAGAAGCATTTGGGGGCCAAGATACTGTCAAACAGGTTTGTCTTGCACAAAGCTGCCCGGGGCTGGTTTGCAGACATAACCTACTTCCTCCTGCTCCTGCCCCTGTGCCCGGCCTATGAAAGCACCTACCCCTGTGGTAACAGCTCCCTCAGAGTGAAGCCGAGGGCCACTTTGGTTTGGAAACTACTCTCTCTCTCTCTCTCTCTCTCTCTCTCTCTCTCTCTCTGTCACACACACACACACACACACACACACACACACACACACACACACTTGCTTGCACTTTTTCCCCCTTTAGGGTGCCTGGGATTAATTTTCCTGCTTTGGAATCTTTGGCAAACACTCCAGTGCTAAGCCCCACAAGCAGCCACCAGAGGGCTGCTTTGGACTGGGGTGAGTTCTAGCTGAGCTCAGAAGCACTACAGGCATTTTGCTATCACCTGGACCTGGAAATAATCAGAACTTCATTTGCTACCTGTGATTTTACTCAATTATCCCAAGAAATAACATTATTATGTGAGTGTGCTGGCTCATGCCTATAACCCCAGTATTCTGTAGCATGAGGACTACCATGAGTTGAGGCCACCCTGGACTACACTCCGTGTTCCAGGGGCTCATTCTGGCCTTGAACCCTTAGGGCAATCCTCCTCTCTCAGCCTCCCGGTGGCTGGGATCAGAGGCTTGAGCCACAGTGCCTGGCTTCAGGGTTTTCTTAAGAAAATAAAACCTACCCTGGGCTGGTGGTCCTGTTAAAAAATATTGTAATTAAAAAAAAAAAAAAAAGAAAATAAAACCTAGGTTGGGCACAGTGGCACACAGTATTCAGAAGGCAGAGGCAGGTAGATCTTTGAGAGTCTGAGGCCAGGCCTGGTCTATGTAGCAAGTCCTGGGCCAGCCAAGGCTATGTAGTCCTGTGTCCGTTTTGAAGGCTGTTGGGGAACAGTTTTGAAGTTCAAAGTGGTCAGGGAACTTAGGACTTCTGGGTACCCTTTTCCCACCGCTTCTGCAGTATCTCTGGCTTCAAACCACTAAATTCCTGTAACTTGTGACAGCCTCAAATGTTTTCAGACATCGCCAGATATCCCCTAGGGCCAAAACCAGGTATGGTTGAAAAAGAACCAATCTAGGCTGCTAATGGTTATCCCTACGTAAAGATAGAGAAGCAAGGCAATCAAAACTAACACGGAGTTCCAGGCTTTAAAACTAGCCAAGTTTCCAAGGAAGGACAGTAGCCACTTGCAACTTCTGCTCCAGGGAAACTGACACAAGAGGATAAAGTGTAAAGCCTGTCTAAGCTACAGGTCCAAGCAGACCCTCTTTCCAAAACAAGGGAAGTCTATTGCTGGGTGTGGTGCTGCACACCGGTAATCCTAGCACTCAGAAGGCTGAGGCAGGAGGATTGAGTTTAAGGTTAACTTAAGCCACATAGCAAGGTTGTCTCCAAAAGCCATAAAGGTAACACTTCCCCCCAAACCCCCTTTTTTTTCTTAAGTAAGTTACGGTTTTAAGAGGCTGGAAGACTTACGTTAAGCTCTTAAATCTGAAGGCCAAATCTCTGATGTTAAATAATGTTTCACTTGAAAATTCTGTGTGAGAAAAACAAAACAAAACAAAACAACCTAAGTTTACCATTTTCTTCAAAAAGTGTCCTATTAATAAAACACCAATCAATTATGTTTAAGAATGATACAACTAGAAACTGTAAGGGACATTTCCTCATTGAGCTTTGTTCTTGGAAAAGCCGAGGATGAGGGCCGGTTTAGTCCATTTTCCAACCTCATCAAATGAAGTTTTAGAAACAGCAGATTCCATTGTGATTCATGGGAGCCGTGGATGACAGTTTGGTCTGAACTGTGACACATTCCACGGGATGGCCTCCCTGAATTTGTGTGGTGATGGTCTGTCCCCAGGGAACTTTCACAGATCTGTTTTATTTTGTTAGCAATCTGATGAGACCGACTTGGGAAAACATTGCCACTGTTAAGTGAGAAATCAGAGAGCTAATTCAGTGGCCCAAAGCCATCTTGCTGGCAGTCTGGGGACCAGGACACAAGTGTCCTGACTAATACAAGTTTGTTCTATATTACTTTAAACCATACATGTTTGATGTTTTAAAATAAAATCCTTTGGAATTGTTAGTTACTTCACTGAAAAGTTCTCTGGCTTGTTCACCCGGAACTACATGACATGCTGAAATAGTAAACAAATTTAAAAATAAGCTCAAGCTTTGTTCAGAACACTAACTTGGTGACTCATTCAACACACAGGATACTGAACACAGAACACCATCCTGTACAGTCACTTTGCTAAGAAGAACCACAATGTAACCAATAAGTTGTATTTTTCCAAAACCAGTATTTACAGTTGTTTGTTGTCTTCTCTCAACCAGAGATCTTTTTTTTTAACTGAGATGTGTGTGTGTGTGTGTGTGTGTGCATGCTTATGCACCTGTGTGTGAAGGTGCACATGTCCCTGTGGGAGAGGTCAGAGGTCAGTGCCAGATGCCCTCCACAATCACCCTTCCCCTTATTTTCTGAGACCATTTCTGTTTGAGTCTGAGGTGCACTGACTGGCCGGAATGACTGGTGAGTGAGCCCATAGAATCCTCCTGTCTCCGTATCCACAATCCAGGATGAGAGATAGGCTCCGGTGGCCATTCCCAGCTTTGTGAGTGTGCGATAAAGATCTGAATTTTCTGATTATGCTGCATTGAGCCATCTATCTCTCCAGCCCCCAGATAGAGTTTTTTTCAAGTACATGAATTTATTTTGTGTCTGTAGGTGTGTGTGTGTGTGTGTGTGTGTAAGGGAGGTCAAAGGACAGATTTTTAGGAGTTGGTTCTCTCCTTCCTTCCAGTGAATAAACTCAGTTTATTCCCACCCTACAGATCATGTAAACGTATAAACTCCATTCTATCACTTCTAGAACCAGAAATTTTTGAAGGGCTATGGGAAAAAAAAAAAGTAAAATTTATCAAAGATTTTTTTTTTTTTAAAGCAGAGTATGGGACTTGGTCTCTGTATTTGGAAATACTGCATTTGGAAGCAGCAAGCAGAAACAGCTCAATGTCATTCTGATGGATTTAAATATGAGTCAACGTAACCAGCTGTTTATTGGGAGCTATTCCTTTAATAGGAGTGACCCACTGCTCCATGCTCTGCTGTGCCTACCTACCAACCACCCGGTTGTCTGGGCTCCCAGGGACTCTTCTGGAACTTGTGTTCATAAAGAACAAAACTGTAAAACAATAACTAGTGATCCTGGGCCCTCCCCACGCTCCTTCCCCAGGAACCCTGCCTTTGTGGAAACATGGAGCAGGGCGTGAGGAAGTCCACGTCCCAAAGCCAGTCAGTAAGAGGACACTGGCCATCTTCTAGGCGTTCTTTCTCTTCCCAGTTCCTCACATCAAGGGAGATAAAGTCACTCTGTGTTTCTTTCAGCCACTGACGTTTTCCCTTTGGAAAAGTCAATTGTCAGTCAAGAAAGAAGGCGTGACCCCTAGTCAACAGCAAGCTGGACATGGGTCTGCTACAGTGAAGACTTAGACTCTGGCTACCAAGGGTGTTAGGAAAACAGCACCTAAATCCAAATAAGACCACACTAGGCCACTTGAGCTCACTGGCAAGAAGTAACAAGGTTAATTTTTTATGTATTTATTTTGAGACAGGTCTCACTCTCCGGCCCAGGTTGGCTTTGAATTCTCAGTGTAGCCTATGCTGCCTTGAACTTGAGATTCTCTGGGCTCTGCCTCTTGAGTGTTGGAATTACAGGTACTTACTCCCATACCCACCTAAGGAAAAGTTCTTTCAAAAGCACCTGTGCATACTCAGGAGGCAGAGGCAGGTGGCTGTCATAAGTCCAGGCCTGCCTAATCTACGTACCAAGTTCTAGCCAGTGCTACCTATGAGACCCCATGAAAGTCCTCCCCAGGATATGGAATAATACAGATTTTAAACTCTTTTTATTATTATTATTATTATTCAAGACAGGGTTTCTCTGTGTAGCCTTGGCTGTCCTGGAACTCACTCTGTAGACCAGGCTGGCCTTGAACTCACAGAGATTCGCCTAGCTCTGCCTCCCAAGTGCTGGGATTAAAGGCATGGGCCACCACTGCCCAGCCCTCTTTAAAAAAAAAAAAAGATGCATTTATTTATTATGTACACAGTGTTCCACCTACATATGTGCCTGCATGCCAGAAGAGGGCACCAGATCTTATTACAGATGGTCCTGAGCCACCATGTGGTTGCTGAGAACTGAACTCAGGTCCTCTGGAAGAGCAGCCAGTGCTCTTAACCTGCTGAGCCATCTCTCCAGCCCAGATTTTTTTTTTTTTAAGATTTATTTATTTATTATGTTTACAGTGTTCTGTCTGCACACATCCCTGCAGACCAGAAGAGGGTGCCAGATCTCATTACAGATGGTTGTGAGCCACCATGTGGTTGCTGGGAATTGAACTCAGAACCTTTGGAAGAGCAAGCAGTGCTCTTAACCTCTGAGCCATCTCTCCAGCCCCAGTCCAGATTTTAAACTTTAAACATTGTGAATTTAGGAAGCTAGCCCCATCAAGGATAAATATGACTATCTTAGGGGAAAGGGACCTATTTGAAAAGTATTCAGAATCAATGTGCAGAGTCTAGCATGATGATCCACACACTGTAATCCCAGCACTCCAGAGACTATGGTAGAAGGGGTGCCGTGAGTTCAAGGCCAGCCTGGACTATATACTAAGTATGAAGACAGCCAAGGCTGTATTGGAAGACCCTATCTCAAGAAACAAAAGAAAAACAAAGCAAAAAAGTATCAGTGACCAAGAAGGAGACAACTGCTAAGTGTGGTTGAACTGGTCTGGAAAATCACAAGGTCAAAACCAGCCTAGATCACATAGGAAGCCCTTGCCTCAATTAAAAACAACAAAAATTCTTCCAAACCCAAGTTCCTTTACCTTCCACCCAAAGACTATTGTGGCAGAAAAGAAAGCTTTTTGTTATTAAACTTCAATTTTTATGGAAACAGTTGTGGGTGGCGGCTCACACCTCAGCACTCGGGAGACTGAGACAGGATTGAAAAGTGAAAGCCAGCCTGGGCTACATAGAGTTCCAGACCTGCCTAGGCTGTAGTGAGACTCTGCCTCTCCCTCCCTCCCTCAGAAAGCAAAGACATAAAAATACGGAAATAGAGCCGGGCGGTGGTGGCGCACGCCTTTAATCCCAGCACTCGGGAGGCAGAGCCAGGCGGATCTCTGAGTTCGAGGCCAGCCTGGTCTCCAAAGCGAGTTCCAGGAAAGGCGCAAAGCTACACAGAGAAACCCTGTCTCGAAAAAACAAAAAAAAAAAAAAAAATACGGAAATATATAAACTTGAAGCAAACAACTTGGAGTTTCAGAAATTAGTGAGTTTTAAACACTGTGACTGCAATTGTTTTCTTCAAAATCAGCTGCGTCACTAGATCCAGAGGTCCTCATTATCTAGAAACCCTACTCCCCAAGGGTCACTTGACAAATAGGAAATCCTAAACGACAGCCTCAATCCCCGCATCATTGATTACCTACATTCGTGTTTGAGCAACAGATAATTCGGAATAAATCCAACTTTTAAAAGCCTCCAGCTAAGGCTCTGCAGCTCTGGGATAAACACCACCACACCCAAGATTTCCTCAGCCCAGATCTAGATGTTATTGCTCAAATCACATTGGGCACTGATGAGTCACTTGGCTTGCAAAAAGTTTAGAGGTTACCGTCGTTTCTCATCCGGGAACATGCGCCCTAGAGCCTGGGCAGCCCTGTTTTCTGTGCGGTCAGCACGCAGGGAGTGGCTGTAGCCCCTGTCGCTGCTGGACCTGGCAGAGCTCACTGGCACCACACAACAAGATCTTTAGCGGAAGGCTCAGCAAGTGCACCCAATGAGTCTGCTGGCCAAGTCAAGGATCCCGGGAGAAGTCCTGCAGAGTCTCCAGGCAGCCCCCTAGCGTTCCCGGAGGGCGACTTGGTTCCTAGGGCCAAGCTAGGGGCAACCGCTTAGAGCCAACTGCAAGGTGGCTCTTGGGGCTCACTAGAGCGCAGGGCTTTTGTGCCCAGAGCACGCTGGCATCCCGCCGCCCCAAGGATGCTTCGTATGTAGGTCGCAGCTAACTTTCTCCGAGTGTGACCGGTGGGGGAGCCACGGCTGTGGACCCTAAAGGTCGCCTCCCGCCAGGTCGCAGGGCAGGAACCGCGGGCTCGCCCGCGAGCCGAGCCCTTTCTTGGTGCATTGAGCTGCAGCACCCCTCGCCCGCGCCGCTCACCTGGTCAGTGCTCCGCCCGTCGCTCCGCTAGCTGTTTGCAAGTTGGGCGGCGGCTGGTGCACTTCTAGTACACTTCTTCCCGGCCCGCCCTCCCGGGGCGGGGCAGCATCCCTCGCCCAGCAGGCGCCTAACTGGACCGCGCCCTGCGGACCCGGAGCTTTCCCGAGCTGGAACAAGGACACGCCCCGCCAGCCTGTGCCCCTCACCTGTGCCTGGCAGTGGGCCCTGGCTGTCTGCACCCAGACACTCTTAAGATTCACCCGATTCCCGAGTCTGAAGCTACCTCTCACGGGCACAGCCTGCTACCATTTCCTTCACCCAAAGCCTTCCCCAGAAGTGCGCAGTGACTTACGTGTGTGAGGGGAGGGAGGAGCAGGTGTCCCTGACATGTCTGAGATGTTAAGGGGCACCCCCGTTTGCATTCACTCCTGCACTGAATTTTGTTGTGTCTGAACACCCCAAGTTTTGGTGTTTTGGTCTACTCAGAAGGTGGTACATGGTAGGTTTTTCTCAGTGGGTATTTGTTGATTAATGAATGGATGAATGAGAGTAGATGAATGAATGAATGACTGAATTGCTTCCTAGGACTCAAAGACTGGAGGAGAGTACTGCAGGGCGAGAGACAGTTAAATCATAAGAACAGGGCGAAGCTCTGTCTGTATGATACATGCCACCTTTGCAAGAAGGCTGATAACCAGTTTGGAAGCATTTATTTAGATAAAAACTGAGTGATGTGGCCGGGCGGTGGTGGCGCACGCCTTTAATCCCAGCACTCGGGAGGCAGAGGCAGGCGGATCTCTGTGAGTTCGAGGCCAGCCTGGGCTACCAAGTGAGTTCCAGGAAAGGCGCAAAGCTACACAGAGAAACCCTGTCTCGAAAAACCAAAAAAAAAAAAAAACAAAAACAAAAACAAAAACTGAGTGATGTGGTTACGGATATTCAAGATGATTTTTCTTTTCCGGCTTCAGATGATAACATCAGCTAATATCCACCAAACGTTTGTGTGCTCCATACTGTGCCTAGGGTTTTACATACATTTATGGAGTTGGTATTATTTTAATCCTGTTAGGTCCAAAGCAGTCCCCCAAAATGACAGTGCTGGTGACTATGTCCTAAACAGAAGGACTCTGGCTGGGTAAACAGGAACTTCAAGGTGGTTTCTGCTGATCCGGAATCTCTCTTAATCTGCTTCTAAAATGTCAACTACCCAGGGCAAGGGCATCTAGTTCCTGGTCAATTCCAACAGGAAGACACCCCACCCCCATTCTGCTACCTGACATATAAAACCCTCTTGCATTTCTCCCCCACCCGGAGTGGGGGTGTTACCTTGGCAGTTTGAGCCCCAATAAACCTTTATTTCTACCCATGAAGCAGTCAGTCCAGTTCGGTGGTTTCCGTGTGCCCTTGCTTACAAATCCCATTTTAGACCTGAGAGAATTTAGGTATAGAGAGTTTAAATACAACCATGATCGAGGTGAAAGCATGTTAGAGTCCAAGAGCTTGAGAAATGGTTCCTCTGGCACCAGGTGTCTTCCTGCTCTAACTAAAACCCCAAAGACTGTCTGACAGACAGCTCTGAGGGGGTCAGACAGGAAGCTCTGGTCCTGTGCTGTGTGGGGTCTGAAGGACTCGCTGTGCTCGGCCACTGTCCAGAGAGAAGAATTTCATCTGCGGTCAGCTGCTCTTTCCATTTCTGAACGGCTGATCATAGCATTGCCTAAAGCAACCATAATTCGGTGGGCCTCCCTTCTCCTCCCCTCCCTTCCCCTCCCTTCCCCTCCCTTCCCCTCCCCACCTTCCCTTCCCTCTTCCTGGCTTCCTTTATCCCTGCTTCAATCTGCTGAATAGGAAAAAAAATTTTCTTTTCAGAAACATTTCTCAAACATAGTCTATTTTTTTTGTTGTTTTGTTTTTTGAGACAGGGTTTCTCTGTGTAGCTTTGCGCCTTTTCCTGGAACTCACTTGGTAGCCCAGGCTGGCCTCGAACTCACAGAGATTCGCCTGCCTCTGCCTCCGGCCAAACATAGTCTATTAAGGCCAGCCTAGGCTGCATACTGAGACCCTACGTCGTCAAAACAACAACAAATAACCAGGATAAAAGAACTGAGTATGGTGGTGATGCCTGTAATTCCAGTATTCAGGAGGATTGGGAGTTCAAGGCCTGGACTACAGTAGGAACACACACACACACACACACACACACACACACATACACACACACACTCACACACTCACACACTCACACAGGCACAAGTCAGGACCTTTCTATTGAGATCCTAGAGGAGAGAACCACTGTTCCTCTAGTGAGAACACAGTGGGAAGCCACACTCTAACAATAAAGCAAACACAGACTCGGTGCTGGGTCCCAGCCTCCCGAGTGACAAGGTGTGAGCGCCTGCTGTTTACAAGCCACCTGGTCACTGATTCTTTCTGTGGAGAAGACCAAATGAGCTCAGACACTAGACAAGCTTCTTTCAAGATTCTTCCACAAGAGAAGCAGAATTCAGAATTACTAACTTTTATGTTATCGGTGAAACAAAACAAAAACAAAACAAAACAAAAAACAAAGAAAAACAAAAATAACAGCAACAGCAAAACCCGCTGGTGCTGGTGAAGAGACTCACTGTCGGACTGACTAGCTAAGCCCACAGGTAAAGGTGCCTGCTACAGAGCCTGGCAGCTTAAGTTTGATCCCCATAACTCAGGAAGAAAGGAGAGAACCAGCTCTTGAATGTTGTCCTCTAACCTAGACACACGTGCTCACAGGCATACCTGCAAAAATAAATGCATTTTAAAATATTAAAATAGGTTAATAAAATTTTAGAAATAAAATAAATGTAAGCATTTAAAAAAAAAAATCACTGTAGGTAGGTGCGGTGGCACTTGGGATGAAGAGTCAGGCAGATCCCGTCCAGTTGGAGGACAGCCTGATCTGTGCAGGAATTTGAGGCCAGCAGGGATACGCAGTAAGACTCTATCTCAAAAACAAAAACAAACACCCCAATCACTGTAAAGGCTGGTTTATGTAAACCATGGAGCAGTCCAGAAGTCACCTGACTCTCCAGAACTCCTGTAGTCTCTAAAATAATCAGTTATTAGTGTATTAATGAATGACCTCAGCCAGTCTTCCACAACCAGAGGGAAATGTGCACACAAGCACTCATTCCTCAGTGGCACTGGGAAGGCCTGCTGTGTGCTCTAGGATAGATCGACACGTTCTACAGGGGCCTGCCTCCGTGGAATCATTGCTGTCCCCTCCAAGCTGACCCCCGGAAGTCACTGTGTGGCTGTAGATGCATTCTACATCTACGATGAACTCTGCTCTGCACAGGTAGCCTGGCAACCAACTGTTTGAATGAGTCATCTGTAGATGATTAGCATGTGAGTAAGAGCAGGATGGGCCACAGGACTGTCTTTTCTCCCTTAAGAAAACGCTTCAAGCCTTAAGATGTTGAATCATAAGAAGGCTCTCTCTGAGGGCTAGCCAAGAGTGGACAGCCAAGCAGTTTGCTATGGAGATAAGAGATGAGTCACATTCTGGCTCTCTGGGTAATCTTTGGTCGTTTTTAGGGCTAGATAAAGCTTATGTCTTTGTTACTTAGAAGGCTCCCTTATGCTGAACTGAATAAATTCATAAGCTCAGACTTACTTCTCCACTGCCCCATCCTACAGAACACTTCTCTGCCAATTTTATGCCGAAATAAAACTAGCCACAGGGTCTTGCTATATCAGGGAGTGCCTGGAGTTTATAATCTGTATATGTGCAGTAAATGACTCTTTAGAACCCAACCCAATGCCTATATAAACTCATTTAAAATAAATGTACAAGACAGTCTCATAAAATATCACTGAATGACTACTAGATACCGATGACTGTGCTGTTGAAAGAAAGGACAAGCCTAACCTTGGCCCGCAGCAACAGGCCACATGATTTCTCCTGATACAGAGATGCTAGGGCTCTGATTTAATGAACGAATGATAGAAAAAGTTAAGCAAAGGCCCTCACGGCAACTTCATACCCACAGGGTTCTCGAAGAGGGGCTTGGAGGAAGAGGCCAGGAGAGTGTGAAGGAGACTAGAGCAAAAAAGTAAACGAGAAAGAGAGAGAGAGAGAGAGAGAGAGAGAGAGGAGAGGAGAGAGAGAACCAATGAGTCACTTTTTAAATAGGAAAATTAGAATTGGAGAAGAATGCTAGAAGTAAATAATAGGAAAATTATGGGGGTTGGGGATTTAGCTCAGCGGTAGAGCGCTTGCCTAGCAAGCACAAGGCCCTGAGTTCGGTCCTCAGCTCTTGAAAAAAAAAAATTATGGACATATAAAAAGCGTGGGGGGGTGGGGGGTAAAGATGGCTCAGCAGGTAAAGGTGTCTGCCACCAAGCCTGATGACCTGAGTTCAAGGCCCGGGACCCACATGGTGGAAGGGGAGACCTGGCTCCTGCAAGTTGTCCTCTGACCTCCATTCATGTGCCGTGGCCTTTTCATGTCCTCCCACACACAAATAACTAAATGCAATAAAAATTAAAGCATGAAGAAACATGAACTAAAGCCAGAGAGAGAAATTTCCCAGAAACTAGCTGCACCGTGCCAAGTAAAGAAAGATGCCCCACAAAACTTGAAGCCCTGAGGAAATACAAACAAAAACCCATGGACTGTAACTCTCATAGAGAGTAGGCTGGTGGGGCAACCAGAAAAAAGAAAAAAGATCTTTCCCCTTGTCACATCTGGTCCACAGCAAATTTGCCAATTCCGCCTGTGTCTGAATCCTGTCGGTACGTGCAGGTGACAAGTGAGAAATGGAGTTGGCCTGAGGACGTTTGGTGGCTATGATGCTCACAGCTGGCTTCTGAGTTGGGAACCTGGAACTTTAGGGACAGAAGGTGAGCCTTGGTGTCATGGGGACACAGCGAATGCCTTGGAGACAGAACACTTTCCAGTTCTGGAGCCAAAAGACGGTGGCTGTCTGCGGCTAACATCTCAGCTGTCTGTAGTTGGTCCTTCCTTTCCAGCGTGTTTAGCAGGGATGTAACATATTCGTCAGCCATTTTGCAAATCCATCCC